GTCATATAAAAGTCAATAAAAAGTTATGAATTTTGATATATTTTTAAAAAAAATTGGAGTGAAAATGAAAAAGTTATAGCCTTTTAAAGAAAAAATGTGGTTTTTATAACATGGGCCCCACCAACTTATTATTTTACCTTACCTACGCTGCTTTGTTCCCTCGCATGCAAGAGTAGCCAAATGGATTGGCGGTTTTAACTAGACCTTCCGTAATTCTTTTTTATTTGACATTATTTTCGAATAAAACTTGGGAAATGATGCAGAGTTATATAAATACTACTTTCTCCGTAACTAAAAAATCTTCTCACTTTCTTTTTTCGTCCGTAACAAAAAATCTTTTCATTTGTAAATCTTCTCATCATACCCCCAATAATTCTTAAAATAATACTCCTTCCATCCCAATATAAAAGACACATTTTCCTTTTCGGGCAGTCCCAATATAAAAGGCACATTTCCTTTTTTGGCAAACAAAACAGTGCAAAACAGTGTCAAACAGTGTCCAAACAATATCCAAACAGTGTTCAAACAGCGTTCACCCTAAAAATGTGTGGAAACACAAATGTGTCTTTTATATTGGGACGGAGGGAGTACACTATTACAACTACCTTTTTGGATTTATCCTACATTCCATCACATTATTCCACTATTTTTCCATCATATTCTCAATAATTCATATCATCTTTCACTATTACGGAGTATTAATTTACCTACTTTTTCATTAAGTAGTGGTCCAAGAGTATAGTTCCATTATTCATACGGCCTATGATGAATGGAGCCCCAGGTGAGCTGTAAACCTGGAACTGACACTCCATTTCTGAACGATTTCTGCACCTTCCTTCATTACACTTAATTAATTTACACGCCCTTTGCATGCATTCTTCATCTATCGATCAAATTCTTCTGAGGTGGTACAAAGAGTTTGCTCAATCTTAAAATCCACACTGTGCAAATTAATAATGTATATAAATTGTTGACGTGGGATTCTTTAATCATAATTGAGCTGAGTTTCCACTTCATGCAAGTAACAAGCCAACCACTACTAAATTTTACTTTCTAAGTCCCAAACACACTTATAGTCTATTTGGTGACTCTGTTTTTCGGTTTATCAGGCTTATTAGCTAACTTTTTTACCAAACACGTAAATTTTGATTCTGCGCGCTGAGTTGTGTAATAATAAGAAAAAGTAAGGTTAGAGTTATTTTTCTGGTTGTATTGGTTGAAGTTAGTGTAGAGAACTATTTAGCTATTTTTTCATGTAATTTTTTCTTTATTTTATTAATATAAAATATTTTAGATATAATGGTTTTTCGCTTTTTCACATTACAATCAGTCAATCCAGTCACTTCATCCAGAAGTTCAGAAGTTTCAGCAGAATCAACCGATTCAGCCAATTTCAGTGTTACCAAACGGCCTCTTATTTGCAAAGTCCCAAATTCATTTGATAACTCTACTTTTTTGTCATCACAATTTGATTTTAATTACTTATTTAGATGTCATTTTTATTGTCATATTCTAATTTTGATTTTGAGACTTTATAAAGCTTTCAATTTAAAATCTGAATATGTAAACTTCTATTAGTAAAACTGATTTAATGGTATGCAGGGATGATTTAGCGTTATCGCGAGCTAATCTCAAAAATTGCAAATTGCAAATCAATTATATTATGTTTATATGGGACAAAGAAAATATTTTTATTACTTTATACTCCGTATTGAAATGGTCTTTCTTCATGTGAGCTAGTAGGAGAGAGAAAGGTTTGATTGTTTTGGTGAATACTCCGTAATTTTAAACGTTGACCAACAATATATTTGTATACGTAGTACAAAATTATTTATAATATGAATAGTTCTACTAGTATTTTTCGAGAGTATAAACCTTACACCTTATAACTTTCAAAAAATGTACGTATTGATCAAAATTTACTACTATTAATAAAAAAGTTATAAAGTTTAAATGAGAATAGTACAAAATGGGCGTTTATCTATCATGTATTTTAATATTTGGGCACTACATTGAAATAAAATGACGATTAGTCGATTAGTTATAGCGTTAAATCCTGAGGAAGCGGTCCAGTTCAACTGGTCGCCGACTCACTCTCTCTTATGGGAGGTCTCGAGTTCGAAACTCAATTGAGTGAGTTTAAGTCCAGTTTACTTTAAGCACCCCAGACCCCCTCCCCAGAGACCCCCTGGAGTAAAAATAATAAAAATAATAGTAATAATAGTAATAATAATAATAATAGTAATAATAATACTAATAATAATAATAATAATAATAATAATCATAATAATGATAATAATGATAATAATAACAATAACAATAACAATAACAATAACAATAACAATAATAACAATAACAATAACAATAATAATAATAATAATAAGGGAAAATTGCTATTAACCCCCTGAGGTTATGGCATTATTACTAATGCAACCTTGCATTTTCGAAAATCAATTACTTAACCCTTGAGTTTTTATTATTCTCACTGTTTGCCCCCTCACGTTAATATTTGTTAAATTAAATTCAATACAACTCTTAAATTTAATGGAAGTTGTCTATAAAATTAAATTTTAAAGTAAAATAAAATTTAATATCATAATTATAAGTCATTGTTGTTGATCGTGCTTTTTTTTACTTATCAACTCGATCATGTATATACTATCTATATTTTAGGTCTTAGATGGATTGACAGCTTACAATTATTTCCACCCAATATCGAACACTTTTTAGGTTCGTTATTAGTACTAGACCAATCTTTTAGGTCATGGATTGATAAAATTCCTTTTTTTCTTGGTATTTCTTCTTTGCTACACACACAAAAAAATGTCATTGAAATAAATTTAGCTGAATGAATTACAATTTACAAACAAGACTTTTATATTCATGATGAAGAGGTGTCAAGAATTTTGATCACAATATTTCAAACAACTTTCTTTGATATATCTCATGAAAATTATGTAGCTCGTGAGTCATCTAACTTAACTACTTTCATTAATATTTATTCCACGAACGAGTAGCTAAGTAAAAAATAACGATCAAGAACAATGATTTATAATAATGATAAATAAAATTGTATTAAATTTAATTTAACAAATATTAACATGAGGGAGCATATAGTGAGAATGATCAAAGCTAAGAGGGTTAATAGTAATTTTCCCTAATAATAATAATAACAACAACGTTAGATCCTCGGTATGTGATCTATCGACATTGTCGGGCTGAACCCGTCAAAAACGGTTTGGGTCATCTTCCTTGGTGCTCTAATAGCAATCGTTCAATAATCTTAATTTGGGTAGTTTGTTTATTATCTTAATTAGGGTTTGTACAAGGAAGTTTTAGCTAATAGACAAACAATCATTGTAACAACTTTAAACAAACACATGGTTGTGAGATAGGCTTGCTATATAAAACAACCTAATTCTGATGAGGTTTGTAGCTAGGGAGTGGGTTGGGTCAGTGAAGTAGTGACTCTACACAGCAGGCAGGGGGGATGAATACTTTGCTAGCTGTCCAAATAATGAGGGCAAATTAAAAGAAGATGGAAGCATAGCATGCAAATGTTGTTGAGCAGCCTAGGTTCTACATTTGGAATTATACAAAAAATCACTTTGAGTATAAACTATAAAGTCATCTTAATTATACAGGTAGACTCTGAAGATATAAACCAATATTTAAGGTCAGCTTAAGTCTTCCCATATTCTCCAAGTATAAAGATACTCCGTATAATTCAAGAACCCCACATTGTCCTAACTTTAGATCTATTGGCTTAGAAAACAGCACAAAGAAGAGCCAGGCATTCTTTCACTTGCATGGGTTTGGCCAAAAATGGATATTGATGCATTAGAATTACCACCACCCAAACGTGTCTTTGTTCGAATCGGCGCATATGCCTTATGTGAGGCATAGGCTGATTCACTTAAAAAATAATTTACTATAGAGCCCGTTTGGTAATACTAAAATCGGCTGATTCAGCTGAAATTTATGAAGTGTTGGCGGAAGTGGCAACATTGGCTGATTCTGCTGATTTAAGAAACAATTATTTTCAAAATATATTTTATTAATAAAATAAAGAAAAAATTATATGTAAAAATAGCTAAAATGGTCATCTACAGTAACTTCAGCCAATACAGCCAGAAAAGTAACTTCAACCTTACTTTTTCTTATTATTACACAATTCAGCGCACGAAAACAAAAGTTACGTGTTTGGTGAAAAAGTTGGCTGATAAGCCCGATAAGCCGAAAAACAATGTTACCAAACGGCTTCAATTCATAGTTATAACAAATCATGTTTTACATGAGTAAGCTCCATAGAATCCAATACTCAAGATAATTAACAAGATCCAATTTTTTTTATTCTTCTTAAACGCTAATACATACTCCGTAGTTCATAAAAGGAGTGATTTCCTCTCCAGAGGCCCGAGTCGTTTGAAACGCTAATTCTCTCATTCCTCATTTCCTCCATGCACTAAATAGAGTAGCATTTAAACACTAATGTGAAATTAAGATAATGTCTATGGGCTTGAATGTTAAGATATGAGAGGTCGCCCAAGGACGTATGTATACTCGTCGTTGAGGCTAACTAGGATCTAATTTCCTGTTATAGTTTAATTGGCTTGAAATCTATCAAGATTTGAAGTTGCATTATGAAAAGTTAACTAGCTCAGTTGAATTACATGTTATTTTGTACTATGATATATGATGAGTTAATAGAAAGGACATGCATACAAGAGGTTTGCTGTTAATAAACACGACAGCCTCTACTCTTCCTTGTTTTGGCAAAAAAACAATAAACCCAGCTGTCACTTTTTGTGATTCACAATCACACATTTCACAACCAAAAAATAAAGAATGCGTCAAGACAAAAAAAAGAGAGTTGTAAGATTTTCAGCACTGATTCTCCCTTTGTTCTTTTCTCACCCACTTGCATTGCTGGAACCAACTTCTGCTACTACATACAAATACACCATACACACTCCCATAGTGAGCTTTCCTCACTCCTTCAGGAACCAAAAAGAGCCCTTTTCAGTTCTACTTACTAAGCCATTTTGGTTAGAGATGGATTATGGCAGTGGCTGTGAGTCTGGATGGACTATGTATTTGGAGAACTCTCTCATTCCTCCATGCACTACATATTCTCATGGTAATGAGTTTTTACATAAAAGTGTGATAAATAAACATGAAGAAGAGGAAGAGGATTTGTCTATGGTTTCAGATGCATCTTCTGGACCTCCACAAGCATTTGGAGAGGAGGAGTTTGGTTTGTGTTATGACAATTCTCCTATTGATGCTGCACTATTGTTGCCTGCTAAGGTGGATGCCAAAAGCCATAAGAAGAAACCAAACAGGCGTGAGAAGCTAAAGGAAAAGGCTTCTTCTGCTCTTGATGATACAGCCAGTTCTCCCATCTTCACCTCCACTCATGTAAGTTGCCAAATTCCATTGGGCAAAATTTGTTTTTCTTTTTGCTTCATTTAAAAAATAATAAGGCTCTATTTGGTAGCTGTAATCGGCTAAATCAATGTTTGGTAGCTTACTTGGTTCATTCTGCTTATGAACAGAATACATAGAATGGTACTGTTGATTTTGACATAACATATTTGGTTTCATTGGATTTACTGATTATTTGGAATAAAATAATAAAAAGCCAAATGAATGGTTTTCTTGTGCAGAATAACTTCAGCCAGAAAAACAATCACAGCTCAGGAGAGAATGTTGTAGTACCAGGTTTTTCACATGGCTACTCAACTACTCAATTTCATGGGCAGTCTACACATCATCAAGAGCACTCTGAGCTCTTTCAATTGCAACCAAACCAGTTGAGTCATATATTCCTTGATTCCTTTCTCTGTTTTTCTCTCTTTTTTTAATAGACAAAGGCTTTCTTTAGGGATTTCCCCTTGAGTATTGATAAATAAATACCCATTGGAAAAAATTAATTCAATTGTGTGCTAAAGTATAGTATTTTCCAAAAATCAACTGGCTAAGTTCAGTAACTGCATTTGCAACATTTATGTCTTAAAATTGATACGGAGTAATTAACATTTTACCCAATGAGTAGTTATTTAGTAGTCATTTTCACAATTTTTTCCTATCTTTATAGCCATGATTTTTTTTCTTACTCTTGATTATTTTATCTTGACAGGTGGTTTGAAAAGAGATGGGGATATTAGGACATCATTTTTTGCTTTTGATGTTGGCAGCAGCTTAGTATAATGTTTAGTTCTGGAAAAATAACAGAGAAATGTTGCTCTTGATTCTATTCTTTTCTTATTCTTTTAGCTATCAATGCACTGGGGTAAACAACCCAAGCCTAAAAGGAAAAAAGATCCCATCTTGTTTCTTAGAATTGCAATTGTTCCATTTAACTAGTTAACTACTATGCCAGCGCAAAACATTTTTACAAAGAAGTAAAGAAGGTAATTAACTGATGTTGGAGTGCTTTTTGGTACTGTTACATTGGAGAAACAGATTCTGCTTAAATCATTCTCAAAACAGTTGGATAAACAAGACAATATACAACAGATTCCAATGTAAGCAATAGATACTACCCAAACACTTTGTTGCAATAACTAATAATAATGATTGTAATAATAATAACAATAATAATAATAATAATAAAATATTAAAAAGTTATGAAACCAGACAAGACTCCATCATTGAAACTCCATACCAAAAAGTTCTCCATATCATTGCAAACCTAAATGTCTCTTAGTGTCCTGACAAGTTATCATTAGAATTACGGCCTGCTCCCATAATGAATCCAAATTCTAATCTTTTAATATTTGTGGGAAAACTAAATGTTACAAAATGATGGTCAGTCAGATAACAAATCAGATAAATTAGATTTATATCATATGAAACTTCATTAGATTTTTCAGTTTTTCAGGTGAGAACTGAGAGATCCTCAAACTCGGAAAGTTCACAATATTTTACTCCGTGGGTAGTAATAGTTTTCTTTCAATTTCTTAATCCAGGACTGAGAACCCATTTTATAAGTATGAATTTGGCTGAAATGGCAGTGTTTCTTTGGCATAATAAAAAAATATGAAAATGGGGCTGAAACTCTCTGTTTATTCATTTTACCTACTTTTTACAAATAAATAAATGCCTTGGGCACTATTTTTAAATTGTCAATCCATTAATTTCTGTCTGCAGCATAGCTTTAAGGGTTGTTAAAAACACTGTCTGATAAACTATAATACTCCAAAGACCAAATAAACAAGAATACAAGAGATTAAGAGAAGGGATATAATGGTTTGTAACTTTACAACCAATCATGCAGGAAAGGGAAGGGAAGCAATAATGCATGGGGGAGAACATTTTGATGCTGCCAACTAGAACCAAAGCAAAACCTGCAATCCTTGTAATATGGCACAAAAGTTTATTTCTAGGCTGTTTCTGAACAGATATGTAAAACACATTAAAATTCATGTGAACTAATGAATGTTTCATCTAGGGCTGTTCCCAGTTGTCATGACAGCAACATTAATCTGCCCTGCACATAAACTGTAAATGGCTTCCATTTTCTTATCTTTTCTGCAAATTTCCACTTTAGGGACCCCCATGCATGTGTTATCTATCAGTGATTGAACTTGCAGTGAGTATACCACAGCACCACTAACTTAAATGGCTGATGCAAGTTGCAAAGTGCAAACAACAAAGGGATGCATCCATCTCCACTGAAGTTTTAGAATTTAGACCTAATTAGCATAAAATTTTAATCTTTGGAATCTGTTCTCTTTTAGCTTTCATTTTAGAGAAAAACTTATGTTCTAAACCCACTGTCACTTGAGAGTTTCAGCAGAGCAGTAATCAGTAATTTTCTACCATCACACTTCTTTACCTGTAATACTTTCTGTCCATTCTTTATCTTCATACTTGCTTTTTTTGTTTCCCTTAATTATCTCTTCTTTCCTTTTGAGGAAATGAATCTTGGTTGCCATTGTTTCTCTTTGCTATAAACAAATTTCAATAGCACATTTTTCACTTTATAAAAAACATTCAAGGTCATACCAGGAGATAAATTAGGGACAGATGTGGTATTAAGTCACTTTTAAAAATTAAATAGGTATTTTAGTCGTACAATCCTACTTTTACTCCTGATTTTTTCTTAAATACTGGTTTCTTAGTATTTATGCACAAGTATTTCAGTAGTTTAGAGAGTAACCACATTTCAATATTGATATTAATTCATCCCCATCACCTTTCCACATTGCAGAGTCCTGCCTCAACCTGGTGAAAGAGGTATGTTATGATTTTAGAGTAAAATAAGAGATGATAATGCACCAGGTCAAAGGAAATGATAATAATGCCATAATGGTATCAATAACTTTAGTACATGCAGTCCTGGAACTAGAAACAGAAAAATCTTCTTAAAAAAAGGTAATGTGATCTTGGAATAAATCCAGAGGGGATTTGTAACCCATTTAAGACAGCTGTCACAAAATCATAAAAGTTGAAGGCAGTTGAGCGCAATGACAAAAGCCCACAAATCATTTTGGACCAGAAATCAGTATAAAAATCTAAGCTTGAAGTTTATCTTCAATCAGGAGACTGACCATGAGTGACCATGGACACATCACATTATCACATACACACACCTAAAAAGAAAGGAAAAAAGAGAACAGATACTAGCTTCAAATTCACTGCTATCTTTGTATTAATGTTACTATAGTTCAGCAGAACAAAACAAAAACTTCACAGTATAAGAATCCAAACTTTATAAAGGACTCAATGAGGAATAATATCATATACAAGTATATTATATGAAGCAAAAAAAACTATAAAAAAAAAATAAGAAAAAATATATGATGCCTGTTGATGGCGCATAATTATTGGCTAGAACTACATGGGCCAGGTAATGTTCAGGTACGTAGAGTGAAAGTCATTTAACCCGCCCTGGTCAAATGGATATGGATAGGTATCAACCGTAAGCTCCATTAAGCCCAGCCCATTTGTGTATTTGCTTTTTATGCTATAATATGAAGAAAAGAGAACTAATAACCCGGAGCAGGACATAAGGTCAAACAAGCTAGTATAAATTTCTTGTAAAATGTGACAGTCAATAGACTTGTTTGGCATTTAGCGGTTAGTGATTAACAGGTCTTCAATAGCGGATTCAGTGAGCGAGTTTAACTAGCGAAATAAGTTAGCGGGTTGTCAGAAGATGTATGATAATTTAGCTGATTGACCATAACAACAAGTACAAAACTTCATGTTTCAAAACGCTACCGAGTTATTCTATTTCGGCAATTCCGTCCAAAAACACAGGGCCGAATGGCTATTTTCCAAACAACGCTAGGGCCAAACCGTCATATTTTGGTTGAAAAGCCATTTTCCAAACACGGACCAATGAGTCAATGTCTCAATGCATGTAAGAATGATGCAATTAAACATTACAAATTGAAAAATTGATCGAAACAGTAGAAGACAGCAGTTTTAAATGCTTAAAATTGTATAGCTTCACTAGAGATTTATTATAGCAATAACATATACTCCGTACTCCAAAATTGAAGTCAAAGGCTCAAGCGAGTCAAGTCACTAACATAATTAAAAGGGACGAGTGCATAAAGTAGAAACAAACATACAAACAATTTACGTAGTATGAGACTCGTGATACTATTAGTGTGTTTAAAAGGTACGAGTATTATATTGGCACGTGATTTTTTGAAATAATATTTGCATGTGTGTTTGTACTAGTGGCAGGCGTAACTCTTATTGGTTGCTACTCCAGATAATTTACTTTTTGTAAGGAAATGTTTTGTGGCTGAAAGTTTTGTACTGCCTCTCCATATTTCATTTTCCTCTCTCATTTTGGTACTCTTTTACTCTAATATTTTACTCCAAAAAATTATTTTATGAAGTAAATAAATTTCAAATACTTCGTATAAACACACAAATCTTTTCTATCGAAAAAACCTGGAGATTCTTTAGAAATGGCAAATAATGTACAACATCCAAGTCTTCATACAAAGAATACAAGCATAGTAGTTATGTTTGACGCAACTAACTGAAAAAATAATTTTATGAGCTTTTTAATAACTCTTAACTTTTAGTGACTGAAAACACCTTAAAGGAAAATGTTGTACTATCTCCGTTCCATTTTATGTGTCTTAGTTTGACTTGACACACTTATTAATGAAGTTGTTGAAAAAGTAAAATTTGTGGTTGAAGTTTGAGTATAATAAAGTGAATTGGTGTAGACCAGATATTTCTTTCCAAAAAAGGAAAGAAGACACTTATTTTGGGACAATCCGAAAAGAAAAGTAGGACAGGTAAAATGGGACAAAGGGAGTAATTGTTTGATAAATAACTAACTGTTTTATTTAGTTCTGTTTGATATAACAAGATGTTGTAACTAATTAATGCTACTGACTTTCTCTAAAATGTTGTCCACTGCAGTATCTCAAAAACGGTCTTTTATTTTGTAAAAAACTATTCAAAATTGTCCTAACAAATATACAACTAAAAACTGTTGAATCCTTTTAAATAGTATAAAACCTAGATTGATTAGGTTTTAAAATTTAAACAGTTAAACATGAAGCTTCAGGATTACATAGACACAGACACACAGTAAAAGAAACACATATAGAGATTCTCAAAATACAACGTTCCATAGGGGCTTGGGGAGAAAAACAAAGGAGCAAATTTGGGGAATTCTCTGGGCACAATTCAAAATTTAACAGTTTCATCCCAAAAGTGTACAAAAGTCCCTCACCCTCCTCCTGACTGGACAAAGATATCAGAAGAGCAAAAACCTTTCTGAGACAAAATCACAAACACTTGAGCTGCAGAAGCCTACTCCTACTCCTCATCCTCCTCCTCATCCTCCTGATCCTCATCCTCATCCTCATCCTCCTCCTCCTCCTCCTCCTCCTCCTCCTCATCATCATCATCATCATCATCATCATCATCATCATCACCACCACCACCATCATCATCATCATCATCATCATCCAACCCATCGCCACTATATCCACCCCCCATTTCACACACCCTTTCCCATATACTTCTCTCCACAGGCACAACCGACAACCTAGGCTGCCCGAAAAGCACAAACCCTTTAAGCGCGTCATCCCTTTTCATCTCCGCCAAGTCCACAGGCCTTCTCATCTCTCCCACGGCCTCCACGTCCACCGCTCCGCCGCCACTGTCTTTATCGGTGTCACCATCCGTGTACCAGCCGCGGACCACCTTGACAACGCCGACCACTCGTCGGAATTTGTTGCCGGAATGGTAGAAGAAGCAGAGGTCGCCGGGGTGCATGGACTTCATGTGCTTCTGGGCTTGCTTGTTCTTCACTCCGTCCCACTTGGATAAACCCCCGTTGGCGGATTGGTCCTCCCACGACCACGTTCCCGGCTCCGTTTTCAGTAGCCAGAACTGATTTTTCCGGCTCATGTTCGATCAGATCTGGAAACTCACCAAAAGGGATTACGATGATTTATACTCGTTTATTCTGGGCGCCTTTTTTATTTGTTTCTGGCGCCACACATTTCATCCACTCATAGGGAGTGTTTGCAATTGCTTCAACTTTAAAAAAGTGATTTTTTAAAGTGATTTTGGGAAAAGTGATTAATAGTAAAAGTTGGTAGTGTTTGAGAAAAAAGTGATTCTGAAAAAGTAAAAGTTGGTAATGTTTGGTAAAATAAGTACTTTTTGTGTAATAGAAAAAGTGAAAAGCAGTTTAAAGCACCCTTCCACCTGCTTCCAGCTTTTAGCTTTTAAGTGATTAATTTAAGCAGAAGCTGTCATTTGAAAACACTCTTTTTAGCTTTTTTTAAGTCAAAAGCTGAAAAGCGCTTTTTTAAAGCAAACGCAAACACTGCTATAGTCCAGTCATATTCTCCATCACAATTTTACTCGTAGCATATAGCCGTTCTGATACTTTTACCCAAAAAAAATAATCCATCAATAACTTAAAAATCTTTACATTTTCCCTTTTCGTCCGTAACTAAAAAAATCTTCTCATTTCTAAATCTTCCTATCATACTCTCAATAATTTTGAAAATAATATACTATTACAACTACTTTTTTTGGGATTTATCGTTACTTCCATCACACTATTCCACTATCTTCCCATCAAACCCTCAATAATTTACATCCCCTTTCACTATTCTTAATCTACCTACTTTTCAAATGGGAAGATTTTAAATTTACGGAGGGAGTACGCAGTATCAAAACTTATGCATTATTGTATTGGTGACAATTACAAAACAGTTCATTCTAGAGACCCTTCGACCTCACCGCTAAAATTACTTCTTAAAACTACTTTAGAAACAGATATTAGAGTGTTTGAATTAAAATGAAAAGGTATTTTTGAATGCTCCAAATTATTCATAGAAGCAGATTTTTAGAAGTTGAAGGAAACCACCTTCTGAAAAGTGATTCTATTTTGTTTATGGTTTTGAAAAGAGTAGAAGCAAAATCAGTTTCAAACACTGCTTACACTTCTCACACTGCTACGTGTAGTTCCATCACTATTAATTGTAGAGAATATTACCCGAAATAGGACTAAAAATGTTTGAAAATTCCAAAATAGGACTGTCATGTTTTATTCCCAAAATAGGACTAATTATTGTCATGTTTTGGCAGTATCAGACTTCAAACATGGCAGTATTTTTCAAACTTGGCAGTAATTACTCCTAGTTTGGGAATAAAAAATATGTCAGTCCTATTTTTGAATTTTCAAACTGTTGTAGTCCTATTTCGTGAACTTTCCCTTAATTGTACTACCAATAATCCATTGAAAGACATGAACTTGTGAGATTTGGGTCACAATTACATGCTTAGTACTTCGTATATTTTAACTTGACTCGAAATTGACTCGGTTTTTATTCGAACGTAACTTGACTTGATTTAAACTCAATTCGACTGAAACCAAACCAAATTCAAGCTACAAAATTCGACTCGAAAAATTAATAAGCGACTCAACTATGAGTTAGTATTGATTTTTTTAGACACATAAATATGACTGTATTATACATCATTCATCTCATTGGACATTCCCTACTTTTATTAGAGTGTAAAAAAGAAAAGTAAAAATTGTGTGTTTAAGATTTATGTAGAAGAAAAGTAAAAATCGTGTGATAAAGTTTGTGAGACAAAAAAAAGTTGACAAAATTCAATGAGATAGAGGAGTATATTCATAGTATGGATCCTTGCATAAAAATTATACTTATCTTTTACTAAAATTTTACTAGAGATTAACATATTGCTTAACATTTTAGACAGTATTTTAAATGCGGTATGTATACTTTAGGCATTCTCAGACAACGCTTAAGAAGATTTAAGTAGAATCAAAGGAACTTAATTCATCTTAGATTTTAACTAGGCAGAAAATTTAAAACAGTGTTTCTTTGTTTAAAATATTATTATGATTGCACATACATGTTTAAATGTATAACATATCAAACTCTTTGTTTAAAAACATACGAGTATCATTTTTTAGATTGGATCATTGGATGCAATTCGAACCCAACTGTAATTCGAACTCAACTCGAACCAAGTTCTATATTTATCAACTCGAATGAAACTCAACTCAAACCAAGCTCTATATTTATCAACTCAGCTGAAACTCAACTGAAATTTAATTTTTCTTTATCAATACGAATCAATCTAAGCCGAATTCAAACTCGACTCGCTAGATCAGCAACATATTCCGAATTACTCGTTATTTTCATTTATATTTCCTCTCATCAAAATTTCATTCATTTCTTAAATGGAAAATTCAATTTAACTATATACTAGTATTTATTTTCTTATTTTAACAGTGTTTTTTGTGTCATTTTATGTTTTAATTTCTACTTAAATTATCTACATTACGTATTATGTTCCAAACACCGCAAGAGTTGTGGTGTGTTGGACTGAGGCCGTGAGGCGATTAACCCCTTCGTAATATATTACCCGTTCCATCTTCCCTTAAAGATTTTATAATTCGTTCCACTCTTATTTGTATATTAACTTTAAAATGCTATTTGTACACACCGGGTTACACATACGGTTACACGCCCCCCAGTGTAATCGCCAGCGTAGAACTAATAAAGAAATAATGTGAACTACAAAATGATTTCCTTAAAATTATACTCTGTGTGATAATGTGATATTTAGGGATGAACAAACAAATATGTAGATAATTTAGGCACAAGCATAAGGGTACATTTCCCCCTTAAATTTTTAATATACATTCATAAGTTACGCCCATTTATTAGACGTTAAAAAACTCCTTTATAAATGTACACAAATGATATAGGAAAAAATGTACCTTATCCTTAATTTAGTGATGGAGAGAACAGCTTACAATTCAATCCTAGGCATGGTCTGGTTTAGTTGGAACCTTCTAGACTTTAGTCTTGGATCAAACCAGAATTCCAACCTAAGTAGGACCATGACTGGTGGGACGGTCAGAATCCAATTAACCTGAAATTTGGGCCGAAATTTGTCAACTCCAAACCCAGTTCAATGTTTTTTATTTAAAGTTTTACGGTTCAGAACTGCCCACAACCACACAGTGAATCAAACCAGGAACATATAGGGTTCTTCCAAAATTGGAAACTGAATCGGACCGAGTGTACTCTTATGGCCCAACTGACCAAGAGTACTCTCTAGGACACTTCAATCGCAGCATCCAAAACTCATTGAAAAATACATCCTCCAAAGAATCTATTTCACATTCCTCTCGTTTAATATATTATTATTACAAGTAGGCCTGAATAACAAATAATTCCTAGTCTGTTGTTGCCTACATCACTTCTTCCCCTACTCTGAATGTATGCATAAATACTTTACACTAAGTCAATGAATTTTCGGGAGGGGGGTAAAACAAATGTACACAAGTCGGGAAGCAACAAATGAAAGAATCTACCGGGCTTCGCCATCCCCATCGTCTTCATAATCGCCACTTTTATGATGAGAGCTACTCCTCCTATCTCTCTTGTGTTTCCTGTGGTGGCCATCAGGTTTTGTTTCAGATGCTGCCCATACATGCTGCTCCGTCACCTACCAAACCACATATATTAGATAACAAGAACAGAAAGTTGGATGTCTTAAAATGCTAGGGAAAGGACAAAAATTTCCAAGGCGGCAAGGCTAGCTATTTTCTTACGTTTAATTACCTTTAAATTATACAAGGTGGAATATTGATTAACAAAATGTATGTTTAGATTTCTTAGTCTTTGTATAATAGAAATGAATAAATGAAATGTGTTTCAATATATACATTCAAAATGGATTTGTCGAGTTTGACTACGTTTTATATTTTCACTCAAATTTTATTTCTTTTTCCATTTTCCCCTTCTTTCCCTACTAAATTTAGGGGGGAGGGACGAGGGTAGGTCGCACACCCTCAACTTAAAGGGCATTTGCATGAAATTCATAGCATTACACTAAGCTTTTTCCGAACCTTTTGCTGTTCCAAATCTAATTTGTAACAACAATATTTCACCTCAATTATTTTAAAAAAAGTTTTGCCTACCTGTTTTGACTTCTTGTGGTCACTACTACTATGTTGTCGGGAACTCCTTGACCGACTCTTCTCATTTTCATCCTCATCAATGGGACTAGAATGCCGCCGCTTCCTGTGTTTCTTGTCTCTCTCACTTTCTGTTTTTCTGTTGTCTTCAATACTATATGGTTCAGTCTTATCACCCCCACTGTCTGTACTCTCCTTCCTACTCCTCTCTTTCCCACTCCTGCTTTCATCTCCTCTGTCTTTAACCCTTCCATGTTTTTCCTTCTCTCTGTCTTTTCTTTCCTTTTCCTTTTTTTCCTTTCTGGCCTGCAAACCCACAAACTATGATCACATTGCACACTGTATTATACTATGGTAGAGCTTCAGACCACCATGATAACCTAGTTTTCATTGCATACAGAAAAGTAAAAATAAAAACTAAAAAATGCAAATTATCCTTCTACTCACAGGATCTACATGTTGATATATCAGAAAACATGTGAGAAAATGGAGTTAATAGGTAAGATAATTTACATACCTTCTCTTCCCGTCGTCTTCGTTCCTTCTCTTTTGCCTTTTCTTTTAGCCCAGCAACAAACTTATCAAATACTTCCAGCAAAAACCCCTCTTCACTCATCTTCCTGTTTGTATGCATCAGATATTCAGATAGTCAGGGAGAATAAGATTTTGTTAGGGTTCTGGGATTGAGAACGGGTCCAAGGACGACTTGCTGTGGCAGGGTGAGTCGGTGAGGGCAAAACCTGCCGCCTAGGGTGACTCTTCTTCTTGCCCGTGGCTGGAAGAGCGCAGGGAGGAGAGAGAGTCCGTGACTTCTCTGCGAACAATTTCTAAAGATCGATAGATTTTATTAAGGCTGAATAAAGAATATAAATAGGCAGTCTGCCCTTTACATGATAGAGTTTTACTCTAACTAAAACTGTAACTTCTAATACTTCTATTAATAATAGGAAATAATAAATAAATAAATAAATAAATAAATAAATAAATAAATAAATAAAATAAAATATGAAAATAGCATCAGGATAGATTCCTCTTCCAATTAAACTTCCTGCCGGCCCATATGTTTCCTCCTGCGATAGGGAATTCCATAAAACGCATCCGTAACATCACTCCCTCCCTCAAAACTGAGCTTGTCCCCAAGCTCAAATCCTGGATAAGCAGCAATAAAAGTGTCAAACGGTTCCCAAGTTGCCTCCTCAGCTGTGTGGCCTTGCCAATGGACTAGCAGCTCCTTCTCACCTCTGTTTAAACGGAAGTGCAGAACATTGGCTGGTACTGGCAGGGCCTTGCCGTCCTTCAGCGGGGGCAGCAGCCCTGGTGCCGGTGGAATACTCCCTTGATGAGGCTTTAGTAAAGACACATGAAATGTGTTGTGTATTTTGCTTCCTGGTGGTAACTCCAACTGATATGCCACACTGCCCACCTTTGCTAATATTTTAAATGGCCCATAAAATTTTGGAAGCAGTTTGTGTTGCTTAGAGCGACCTACTGTGAGTTGTCGATACGGTTGTAATCGCAGCCACACCCAATCACCTACATTAAACTGTAAGTCCCGATGATTATTGTCATATGCTCTCTTCATGCGCTGTTGGGACAACAATAACTGCTCTCTTGCGGTGGTGACAAGCTCATCACGATTAATGAGTTCCTTATCAACTGCCTCCAGTCGTGTGGAGCCTGCAGAATAAGCCAATAACCGAGGTGGTTCTCGGCCATATACCAAGCGAAACGGTGTTTCTCCTAGTGATGTATGGTAGGAAGTATTGTAACAAAATTCAATCCACGGTATCCATTGCACCCATTTTGTTGGCTTCTCTCCTGTCATGCATCGCAAGTACATCTCTATAGTGCGATTAACGACCTCAGTTTGTCCATCAGTCTGCGGATGGTAAGCGGACGAAAAGGTAAGCTTTGTTCCAGAGAGACGAAACAATTCTCTCCAAAATGTACTCATGAAAACCTTGTCACGATCAGAGACTATTGTTTCTGGCAGACCATGCAAACGGACAATCTCATTGAAGAAAATTGTTGCTACTGATGGCGCGGTATATGGATGGGACAAGGGAATGAAGTGAGCGTATTTTGAAAAACGGTCCACCACCACGAGCAGGACTGATTTCCCCTTCACTTTCGGCAGCCCTTCAACGAAATCTAATGAGATATTTGCCCAAATTTTTTGGGGTACCGGTAATGGCTGCAACAGCCCTGCAGGGTGTAGATTTACCCATTTATTTCTCTGACAAACTTGGCACAATCTGATGTAATCTCCCACCATTTTTCTCATACCGGGCCAATAAAAATCACGACGAATACGCTGCAAAGTTTTTTCTATGCCTTCGTGCCCCATATCATGCAATTCAGAGATAATCTGAGGAATAATTGGAAAGTCAAAGCCGAGGAAAACCCTCCCTTTAAACAGCAGCAACCCCTCTGCAAGCTTCCAGTCCTCTCCTAGTTTCCCTTGCTTGACCTTTTCCTCCATTGCAGACCATTCTGGCGAACCAGTTGCTTCCTTTTTAATTGTTTCGAACAAGGTGGTCATCGGAATAGTGATTGCCACACATTCTATCTCAATGTCCTCTCTGCGTGAGAGGGCATCAGCAGCCGCATTTAATCTTCCCGGTTTATATGCCACACGAAAATCAAATCCCACCAGCTTGCTTAGCCAATGCTGTTGCGGACAGGTTGTCAAGCGTTGCTCCAGGAGATACTTTAAACTGGAGTGATCGGTGCGGACCAAAAATTGGTGACCCCATAGGTATGGTCTCCAATGAGTGATGGCTTTAGCGAGGCCGATTAACTCTCTTTCATAAGCTGCCAACTTTTGATGCCTCTCTGGGAATTTCCTACTGAAAAAGGCAATAGGGTGTCCTTCCTGCTGGAGCACTGCCCCCACCCCGATCCCAGATGCATCACACTCCACCACAAATTCTTTCTGGAAATCAGGTAATGACAGCACGGGAGCCGAAGAGAGTAATTCTTTTAGCTTCTCAAATGCACGGTGCGCTTCTGGAGTCCACTGAAATGAGTTTTTCCTCAAAAGAGAAGTTAGGGGGGCTGCAATCTCACCGTAATTCTGTATGAATTTTCGGTAATAGCCTGTCAGTCCCAAAAAACCCTTTAGAGTTTTTGTTGAGTGAGGAATTGGCCATGCTTTAACTGAACTCACCTTTGAGCTATCAGCTTCTACCCCCCTTTCATTTATGACATGTCCCAGGTACGAGACTTGGGTTTCTCCAAACATGCACTTGGACTGCTTCAAGAAAAGGTTGTTTTGACGAAGAATTTCAAACACAAGTCGCACGTGATGAAGATGTTCTACCCATGTTTTACTGTAAACCAAAATATCGTCAAAGAAAACCAAGATGAACTTGCGTAAATAGGGGCGAAAGATGCTGTTCATAAGACTTTGAAAAGTGGATGGTGCATTAGTTAGGCCAAAGGGCATAACTAAGAACTCGAAATGCCCATGATGGGTACGAAATGCCGTCTTCTCCACATCTTCGGGGTGCATCCGGACTTGATGATATCCTGATCTTAAATCCAGTTTTGTGAAATATTTTGCACCGTGAAGTTCATCAAGCAATTCATCTACTACCGGAATAGGATATTTATCCTTGACGGTGTTGTTGTTAAGTTCTCGATAATCAACACAAAACCGCCAAGAATTATCGTGCTTCTTAACAAGTAGAACTGGAGAAGAGAACGGTGATCTACTTGGCTGGATTATCCCCTGGTCAAGCATCAATTCACATTGCCTTTCAATCTCGTCTTTTTGGAAGTAAGGGTACCGGTAGGGTCGCACTACCACCGGTCCAGTTCCAGGTTTTAGGGTAATCCGGTGATCACAATCTCTCTGTGGTGGCAGCCCCTTGGGTTCAGCAAATAAATCTTCATATTCCCTCATTAAGATGTCCAACTGAGCTGTGTCCGGGTCGTTGCTGTGAAGCAGCGCCACACGAGGAACAAATGTAGGATGCAGTCCGCGCCAAATCACTGTCTTGCTCCCCCTTTCGAATCGCATCGTTCTATCATAGAAGTCCCATAATATGGGCCCTAGAGTCGCCAACCAGGACACACCTAATATGGCATCAAAACCCTCTAGCGGAATAGTGTAAAAATCTGCACTATATTCCTCTCCGTCAACCAGGAAAGGAACTAATTTGCATACCCCTTTACTTGGAACCCTTTCACCGTTAGCCACTCGCACATGCAACCCTGACTTCCTGAGAATTGGTAACTTCAGAGATGATGCTACCGCTTCTCTTAAGAAATTATGGGTGCTTCCGGAGTCAATCAACACTGTCAACTCTTTTCCTTCCATTCTTGCTAGTAACTGCATGGTCGATGAGTGTTTTGTACTACTTATAGCGTTGGCAGACAACTCCAAGTCTGGTGAGCCATCCTCCTCCTCCTTCTCATCTTCGACCTCGATAAAGAAAAGCTTCTTGCACCGGTGATTCGTCGACCACAGCTCATCACAATTATAACAGAGCCCTCTTGCTCGCCGTTCTGCCATTTCACCCTTCGTGAGCCGTTTAATAATCGGGTTTCCTGCCTTAGTTGTCATGGGTGTTTGTCTATGTTGTTGCGGGCTTCGTTGTTTTGCATCTGTTGCAACACTCCAGCCTTTGACAGGTGCAATTGTCAATGACTGCTTTGCTTCTAACGTCCGCGCAAGGTTCATTGCATACCCCAGGTTTCCTGGTTTTGCCATCTCCACATCCGCCCTCAAGTGAGGTTGTAAACCAGCGACATATAAAGCAATCTGATGTGTGGGTTGTATTCCTGAAGTTCTGGCTAAGGCTTTTTGAAATTGGGCACAATATTCATCAACTGTCCCTGTTTGCATTAAAAGCTTTAGATCACCTACCGGGTTAGAACTCAGAGGGGGCCCAAAACGCTCCAGGCAAAGGTCTTTAAACCTATCCCAATTGACTTCACCTTCTTCCTCGATCATCTGGTCAAACCAGAGTTGTGCATCATCTATCAAGTGGAATGCAACAACATTGACCTTGGCAGCACCAGGAGTTTCTTGATTCAAGAAGAATTTTTCGCACCTTTTCAACCAGCTGATAGGGTCAGAGTTGCCATCGAATACTGGGAATTCCATCTTCGCATATTGTGGTCTCCAGGGGTTCGTGGTTTTCTGCCATGGATGGTCTTGCACTCGGCTGTTATCCACTTCATCTTCCTCCGTTATTATTGACTTTGAATCGCGTTTGTGGACTGCCAGAGATAGAGCGGCAATCTGCTCTTCTATGGCGGATGTCCTAGCGGTCATCGTCTCCATGAATTCCTTCATCATGGTGGCTAAATCATCTTGCGGTTGTGGCGCCATGGATCTTGACGGCTCTGATACCAAATTGTTAGGGTTCTGGGATTGAGAACGGGTCCAAGGACGACTTGCTGTGGCAGGGTGAGTCGGTGAGGGCAAAACCTGCCGCCTAGGGTGACTCTTCTTCTTGCCCGTGGCTGGAAGAGCGCAGGGAGGAGAGAGAGTCCGTGACTTCTCTGCGAACAATTTCTAAAGATCGATAGATTTTATTAAGGCTGAATAAAGAATATAAATAGGCAGTCTGCCCTTTACATGATAGAGTTTTACTCTAACTAAAACTGTAACTTCTAATACTTCTATTAATAATAGGAAATAATAAATAAATAAATAAATAAATAAATAAATAAATAAATAAAATAAAATATGAAAATAGCATCAGGATAGATTCCTCTTCCAATTAAACTTCCTGCCGGCCCATATGTTTCCTCCTGCGATAGGGAATTCCATAAAACGCATCCGTAACAGATTTTTCCTTCAGGGAAGCATGGAAAGTTGAATGCGGCATCACTGCCCAAATTAATGATTCTAGATGTTATGTTATAAGTAGTTATTTATAATTTATATAATTCGAAAATAAGTACGATTTTCGAAAACTATAAGTAGTTGTACTTATTTTCGAAAATGCTAATGAAAATCTAGAAAACACCTTTTTCGGGGTTTCATAACCTTGTTTTTAGTTTTCAAAAATAAGTAAATAACGCAACACAGAAATTGATATCGAATGAGCACTAAAATATCAAATTACATAAAACAAACGCTTTCTTGTTCAAAACTTAGAAGTCACATACAGCATTCCTATCAATGCAATTATGAATATGAAAAGCCAAATTAATTTACTATTCCAACAATCCAACATATAAAAAATATTATAAGGGAGAATTTGACTTTGCACCCCAATTTTTGGGTGATATTGAACTTTGCACCCCATTTTGAAAAAATTTTGATTTTGCACCCCAACACATAACATTTTGTGAAGAAAATTTTCTGAATGAGGTGCAAAGTCAAAGGATTTTTAAGGCAACGTTTGGATGAAGTGTTGGAAGGTGTTAGTAATGGAAGTGTTAGTAGGTGTTGACAAGGGCCCGGAAAGGGAGGTAAGTGTAAGTGTTATACATAACCATACCTTGTTTGGGAGAGTTAAAAAAATGAAGTGTTAGTAATGGAAGTGTCTTCATTTAAATTGACAAAAGTAACCTCATATATATAAAATACTAACAATAATCACTTATTCACTCACGACCTGCTATATACTCCTACATCAAACTACAGTTAAGTGCTAACTGTGCTACGAGTATACAAGTATACTATAGGATGCTACATCTATATATAATACGAAGTATATATATACAATATAATTCTAACACCCATCATTTACCGCCTGCTATAGTTCTATGTATTTACGAAGTATACTATAGGCTGCTATTATATTACGGAGTATTTAATTACACAAACACAAACCTAGGAGGAGAATCAGGGAATAAATCGAAGAATAGCTGCAATAGGTGAAGAAGAAGAAGAACGGTCTTTGGCCTGCGGAAGAAGAAGAACGTTTTGGCTGCGGAAGAAGTTACAGGGAACGTCGGTAATACGCAGATTTTGAAATAAAAGGGGCAAATGTTGTCCAACACTTCATTACACTCCAAATTGGGGTGTTAAAAAAGTGATAGATATAGGTGTTAGGGAGGTTTTGTTTAACACCCTCAAACACTTATTAACACCTCTAAACAAATTTAAATTTTCTCCCAAACAAGTGTTAAACTAAACACTCCTTAACACTTCCATTACTAACACCTCCTAACACCTAATCCAAACAGGCCGTAAGTGGAATGGGGTGCAAAGTCAAAGTTTTTTGAAAATGGGGTGCAAAGTCCAATATCAACCAAAAAGTGGGATGCAAAGTCAAATTCCCCCATATTATAAACGCCAAATTAGCTGTCTTGCCTGTCATCAAGTAAAGGTTTGCAGTCCTCCCATCTTGAAGATGCAGTAATTTCCTAATATAGACAATAACATTATTAGATCAACCACTAAAATCATGTTAAGAACATTAAAAGTAATGATGTAAGCATGTAACACTGCTAAAGCACCTTAGAATCACATAAAAGCTCGTAGAAATCATCTGCAAGACGTTTACGTCTTTTAGCTTCTTTTTCTTCTTTTTCTCTGGCCCTTTCCACCAACTCTTCAAAAACAAACTTTTGACAAAGCATGAACATCAGATTAAGAAATGGAATAAGTGAATAATCAAAACAGAACAGAAGCACAATGAAAGAATCTGAGATAGAAAGCACCATAGAATCATTACAATTATTTGATAGGTAGAATTTAAGAATAATAGGATACGTTTCTGTTTTAAAAAACTTTCACAAGTAGCAGTGTAGCACCTTGACAACCATCTATATCCTCCTTTTCATTTAACCACCTAAATGATAATACTAGCTCTCTTTCCATTTGTTTTCCACTTCAGGTTTTGGACAATTTTTTAGCAATGTGAGCCTCCCCAAGTGGAAAAGGTAAGAAAACAGTGAAAGGTAGATGAGGAAGAAAAGTTAGTGGTGAAATTGTACTAGGAATGGAAAGGGGAAGTACTTTTGGACACGGACATAAAGGAAGATGAGAATTTAAAGACAGAGGGGGTATATGATAGAACCAGCAAAAAAGTCAAATAACTGCAGAACAGACCCCACCTCTAATCTAGTCATCTTTCAATGACTTGGTTTTGTAATCATGTGGGAAGTGAAACGTCAGTTTAATGATAGTTCATCAGATGATTGAGAACAAAGAGAAATCCAGAGGAGAAAAGTACACCTTCAAATTAGTATCCGATATGGGCGGTGAAATAATATCTTCTGAAAGGGCAGCCTTGAAGTCTTCAAATGTCCAACTTGTTGTCAGACCAACCTGAATACATGTACAACTTACTTAGCATGAAGTAGCAAATTACAACCTGAATACATGTACAACTTACTTAGCATGAAGTGGCAAATTACAACCTGAATACTTTTGAGCATGTCAAAAAGCACAGCATGACAAACCTAAAAAAGAAAATTACCTCATGCACTTTAACTGCATCTCTTATACGAGCCTTATCTTCAACAAACTGCAGAAAGCACACAATTACTACACATAAATGCATAGAGAGGGATCATGGTGTCTAAAGTAAAATGGAAAATCAATGGTGACTTGCAATGCAAATAGGCTGATAAGGGACCACAATCCCTGTCTCATGAACCTATTCGGTCATTACTCATTAGTATAACAAACCGGTGGTGATTTTGAATCACTATTAAAACAAAGAGATAAATAAATCCATGTACTTCATTGGCATCAACTTCTTACCAAGATCCCTACTTTTTAAACAACCCACAAGTAAGGTATATGATGCCATTTATAGGCAGCTATTCCTAGAGTGTAGCACTAATTGCATGGCATTTAGACTGATCAGTTTCATATAAATTCACCTGTTTTTCCAGCTCCTCTACAACATCTTCATACAAATCTTTTGCTGTCGAACCCGATGTGTTGGATGAAACAGCTAAAAATGCAGGTGAATCTTTAACCTAGGCATGGAAAAAGTTCAGAAAATATAGTAGGTTATTAATTGACTCACTGCATCATGAAATAACCAACCTTCATGCAATAGTCGCGCCAGTGAGTTCTGGCTGTGAGAACACCTTCAGAAACATGCTCTTCCATAAGCTTGCGGAATTCATCACGGTTTTTACGTTCTGTTTTCCTCAACTCCTCCTGTTCAGTGTGTGTAAGATACAGAGAAGGCAGAAAATGGTAGGGATGAAACAATAAGTAAAGTTCTCAATTCAAGGAGCCTCTTATTATTTACCATACGCAGCCTTCTTTGCTCCTCTTCTTCCCTTTCTAAGTCACGAATATACTCCTATTACATTTGCCAACATTAGTTAAAAAAATACTTTAATTTATGTAATACAAATCTTGTATGGAAACTGGCTCCACAGAATGCAACTTCGGGTTACCTGAAAAATTTCCAAACGGTCAATCTTCTCCAGGCGTGAGCACCTTTCGTCATCCTCTAAGCGGTCTTGAACCCTCCGCCATTGGCTGCTTGCCTAGAGGGACAAGGTAGGGGCTGTTTTCAGTATTATTCTTTACAAACAAAAAATATACCTTAAAAGAACACTACATTTGATTGACATAGTACCTTAATGAAGTCGCAAGATTTCAAAAATTCCAAGTACTCCATTCTATACCGCTTGTTCTCCTCCAATGCCTTTGCTCTTTCCTGATCAAGAATCAATAAGAGCGAAATAAGAGAAAACATCACTTTACTACCACAAGTAAACATAAATTAGCAAAACATTTCCAACTTACAAGCATTAAAGAAACCTCTCTGCAGATCTTAAACTATTGATATAACTAATAAAGAAAAGCAAGTCCCAAGTAGATACATTTAGAGTAGTGTGTCACTGTCAGTTTATTGACACCAATTGAGTAGGATTTCCACTAAGAGGACTAAATAATCTACTTTAACACAAACATTAGTTCCCTTTCCCAGTGATAAGAAGTTCACCTTTTTCTCAAGTTCTTGTATGTAATCTTGAAAAAGGTCCTCACGGTCCTTTGACCGTTCAACAGCTTGATAGCGCTCATCATTTTCAAGGATAGATATTGCTCTACTGCAGAACCAACAAGGCATAGAAGTGATGAAAAGAACATTATCTTGACCATCTAAAAGCTACTTACTATGTTCACATTTAGTTGCACCGATAGGGTTTTCACAGAAAGAATAAAATTGTAGGGATAGTGAATAGTGAATAGTTTATAAAGTACAAAGAGTAAAAAATGAGAGTAGATGAAGTAGAAAAAGGAATGAGAAGATTGAAAAAGTCAAGATATTTAATACTCCCTCCGTCCCGAAAAGGTTCACCAACTTTGACTTTCACGTGGATTAATAAAGTAAAAACTGTGTAGTTGAAATTTGTGCAGAGGAGAGAGAATTGACTTTAGCCACATATTCCTTGCTTTAAATGGAAATTGGCAAATCTTTTTGGGACATCCAAAAAAGGAAATTTGGCAAACCTTTTCGGGACGGAAAGAGTATGATAATAGCTTTCAAAAATGGAAACTGGGGCAAGTAATAATTTTTTTTATAAAAGGATAGTGGAGAAACTAAAGGGTAAACGGAGGAGGTCTTATATTATTTTGAGAAAATTCCCTAAATATGACTTAAACAAGGATAAAGTTCATAAATAGGACTGTCATTGTTTTACTCTTATCACTCCTATTTTGGGAAGTTTTAATCAATACTTCGGGGAATAAAATATACTTAATCCCATTTTTGCATTTTATGTATGTTTTGATCCTATATTGAGCAAGTTCTATATTATTTTATAACAATAATTATTAGTAATATAGTTATAATAATAATTATTGTTATAAATCTTATAATAATTATTATTAAACTATAATTGTAATAATAATTACTCCCTCCATCCCGGTAAGATTGTCCCACCTTTCCTTTTTGGTCCGTCCCAATAATATTGTCTCATACCAAATTTGTAAAATTTGTGTGGTTCTAAATCTTTCTTACTTTATCAATTCAATATAAACCACATAAACCTACTCTTCTTAATAACCGCACCACCTCCTCATGTCCCAATGTTAGTACTACTCTTCTTAATAACTGCACCACCTCCTCATGTCCCAATGTTAGTAGGTCTTATTCCCAAAAGACGGAGGTAGTACTATTTTATAATAATAATAATAATAATAATAATAATAATAATAATAATAATAATAATAATAATAATAATTAGAATTATTATTGTTATTGTTGTTATTTGGGGGATTAACAAATATGAATGGCAGACATATTTAGCAAATTAGTCATTACACTGCTATTTAAGATCACTGAAGTAAGACAACGCTAAATTTTTATCATCTAAGAATTATAAAAACATTGAACAACCCAAATATGCAGTATAAATAGATAGAAAGGCAGACCTCCATCGGATGGAAGATGTAATCTCTTGGCACTCCTGTGGCAATTTGAAGATCGAACAGCAGTTATAAATTTAAAATATAATGTTTACGCATGTTTAGATGAAAACCGAAACACCTATATGAAATTGTGAATGTGCATTCTAACCTCTAACATTGTTTTGAAATCTTCTCTACTTTTCTTCTGTCTGGCACGCCTCTCCTCTGCTTCAAGTTTTTTCTTTTGTCCCACGTACTAAGGAAGATGTGTAGAACATAAAATTCAATGTCATTTAGCCAACTAGAGACGGTAGTAAAAAATATTCATAAGAAACTATATCAACAGATAATGCTTTCACAAGAAAATTTACCTCGTTAAAAACCTGCTTTCGCTCAGAAAGTGTTTTTAGAGCCCCATATCTTCTATCATTAATTATTGCTCTCATGGCCTATCCATTTTAATGCACGTGTTAGTAAAGCTAATAGGAGATAGATCAACAAGATTTAGCTACAAATGAAAATAACCTGATCCCAATTCCAGTCAGGTCCAACACCAGCAGAATCAAGAAGTGCTTTAAATGCATTCTTTGCGTCCTTAAATAATCAAACATGAATTGAAAAATTAACGTAAAACTAAAATTAGACAAGAAGAGCTGATGTTACTTAGTATCTTGCTGGTTAAGAAAAATGGGCCCAATAAGAAAATGAATGAAAAGAACCAACCTGTTTGCCCGCGTAAGCTGAAGGTAATGGCTCAGTCATTTTCTCATCTGACAAAACAGCACTTCCCTTTTCAGAAACTCCAGCACCTTTTTCAGCGTCCTAAAACATGTGAAAGTGAAACAAAACAAGCCATAACACTGCTGCTTGGATTTAAAGGTATCCCATGATGTGTCCAGTATATAAGATTGTAATGAACCTGTATCTTTCCTGGAGAACCTCCATTTGTATCAGCTGCAGCATCATGAACCGGTGAAATTCCAGGAGTCCTGCAAAGACTTGCAGAAACGGTTAAAACAAATTCCTGTTGGTTGCAAAACTTACTCTAATACGTATAAAGTAAAAAAATGTGAATACATCTGAATTGCGACAGAGTCTGCGGTTGTGGCCGACACTCCATGCCCATCTGACTTAGCGGCAACAGCTGGTGAGGCAGCTTTGGAAGGAGTTTGCAAGACAACAGACTCAGCTGGAGTGTTAGATGCATTATCAGATCGGCCTAACATTTCTGAAGTGACAGCTGGTGCCGCTGATATTGGGCTTGCCCCTGTCCCTTGAGGTAAGGCCGATAAACACACTGCACTTGGAGAATATGCTTTCGCACTAGTAGACGATGTTGCATCAAGAGTGTGAGAGACACCACTCTTTTCTTGTTCTAATGCCTTGATTGTCTCCAGATTAAGCTTCTCACGTGCCAACTGAAAAGAGAGAAGATTGTCAGCTCTTCTGCAAATACTACTGGTGAATCAAATATTAGTCTCTTTACTAAATCTTTCGTCCCATTTTCCTTCCTTGGCTGTCCCAAATTTTATTCCCATTTCCTTTAAAGAGAGGCATTATCTTACTGATGTTGCTTCTCCTTTTCTAAGTACATTTCAACCACCCAATTTCACTTTCTTAATAAATATGCCAGGTCAAAGTGAGAAGAAAGGAAGTAGGTTTTATCTGATCAAAATACCTTGACTTCATCAGGCATTGCCCACTTTGACACCTTAGTAACCTTGTTGTAATAATACCTACCACAATATCCAAGTTGATACATTTATAAGGATATATAATACATTAAAAGTAGTTCAAAGGACAGGTTTTTTTAAACAGGGATAAAGACAAAAAACATTTTACTTTCTTCCATCAGGACTAGTGCATTCTCTCCAGTCAGTGGAAGCATCAGCCTTCTGCAATAAATTAAAACACACTATGAGGTAAGCTGCAAGAGTACAAAGAGACATCAGATATATGCATGCTGATGAACAATATCAGCACTCATGTCCAGAGCAGCGATGAAAGGGAGTAAGTGCAAGGAAGCAAGAGAAAAAAAATAGAACCTGAATGATATAGGCTATGTTTGCAAATGCTTTTTAAAAGCATTTTTCTTCTTTTAGCTTTGAAAAAGCAAAAACTAGTGTTTGTTACTTTGTTATACACAAAATTCAACTAAACTAAAAGCGATTTTTAAGATAAAAGCTAAATGCAGCATAAGAGGTGCTTTTAAATGCTTTTACATCATTTGTAAATAAGTCCATCTTTGAGGATAATCACATTCCTAACTCTATTGTACAAATCCCAAATTACCCTTGCTAATACATCTACGGGTCCATTGGAGCTGCTTCAGTATTCACTCCACGCTCCTCTTCTCCGTCAGTCTCTCCGGCAGCGACTGGAGCTAGATGCCTCTTGTTCCATGGTATGGGATTAAGAGGCTGGAGCGACCCACTTCAATCGGTTTTGATGGGAAACAAAAAAGAGGAAAAAGAATTTTTTGCCTACTAGCTACTGCGTCGAGGTTTCGACATGTCTATCACTATGGGTCATCCGGAAAAAGTCTCTCTGTAGTTAAGTACAAGGGTAAGGCTGCGTACATCCGACCTCCCCTTACCCCCACCGTAGGAGGGACCGTGGGAGCCTTTTCAACATTGGGGTAATGATGAGCTACTGCGTCAAGATTTTAACCTATATATGTGTGTGTGTGTGTGTGTATAGGGTCCGGTTCCGGTGAGAAATGAGAATGGTGCGCATTCTGGTTCATTGAGTTGCACATTTCTGATTGAGATAATGCACATTTCGCGACAGCAGAAAAAGATCACTTTATTTGCAAAAACGTCATCTCGTTTTTTCATCCATGGTCATGCACATTTTGGTTTCAAATAATGCACAACTCACAGATCCAACGGTCCATATTCATTCTCATTTCTTTCCTAAGATGCCTTTCTTACTTAATCCTAAATCTATATATATACTAATATGCTATATATACATATATATAGCAGGGCCAAACTACGCCGTCTGTGTTGTGTTTCATCAGCACATCCTTCCTATATACGGAGCATACAAACACACGCACATATATATATTGTAAGTAGCAGCAAAGCTGTCGATCAAGGGCATATATGTATTTATTAAATATCTATAAGGGTATGTTTGTACAAAATATTAAATTAAAAATTCACTTTTATACCAAATACTCCGCCTATAACCTTTTAAACTTTAATCACTCCTATTCTAAAACACCAACAACTTTTACTATTTAGCACCTTCTCCAAAATCACTTTAAAATCATTTTTTTAAAGCAAAATGTCCATCGCCTAGTACCAAAAAAAATGAAGGTGAAAATAAACCAACTCCTCAAAGTGAAGAAATCAAACCTACACCTCTCATCAGACAGTTTGCTGTTATGTAAACATAGAATTCAAAGAGGCTTATATTTTTTTCTTTTTTCTTTAATGGTAGAAAGATTGTTGCTGCACTAACAGGAAGCAGCAGGCAAGAATGATAAATTATAACCAATAATAATTCTGAAATCAGTGCTTTTCCCAAATCCACACCCAGCCCAATAATAGCTCACACATCCATGAGAGATAAAAAAGAAAGAAATGGCATGCCTCGATTTCAGTCATCAACTCAACAGGTTTCTCCCAGCTAGATATCTTTGTCCTCATGTTGTAATAATATCTGTATAAATCACAGTCTCATAGACTTCAGTAACATTTTACAAAAGTCGGTAATTTCAATGAATTATTACATATCTTAGTCATACGTTTTATTGAAAGATAACTACTGCAACTTTTTGGTTCCATTAAATTGACATCTCATTTTAGAAAGAAAAGCTAATGATTATTTGCAACTAAAATCTTATCGTTACTTCTTTCCCACTAAAATGGTGAAGTGATTATAAATGTGTACTTTTTGCCAGTGCGGGCAGTATGCTCTATCCAATCTGATGGAATCTTATCAGCTGATCCAAGCGTAGGATTTGCTTCCTGAGATGTAAAACAAGATTGAAGAATTTCAGATTGAGAAATAAAAAATTATGGCGCAGGAAGAGTGCTAGGCTATATATGTGTGTATATCTGTGAGTGTGGGCTCTATCTTACACACACACAATATACTTCATCTTCAACAATGCCTTGAGACAAATTATATTAGGGTCAGTAGCATGAAATTAATACAAATTATAATTTACTTATTTAAGAAAGCACTCACCGAAATAGCAGCATTACATTCTTCTCCCGCTTTTGGCACAAATTCACTCGTCAGCTGCAAGGGCGTGTTTGTGGATTTGATGTTAGGGTTCCCAGACAACACCCATGGCTGCCCTCCGGCGGAAAAACCAGATTCGCTTGTTTGGGACTGGTGTAGAGTTGCAGAAGACTCTGAATCCTGCTAGTAAAGCAAGGGGGGACAAAAATGAGGAATGTTTCGTTATTGATTGATATGAAGTATAAACAATAAACTGAGTTCCTTAAATGGAAAAGTACATGCAAGAGATTTTTAGGAAATATGAATCCAGAAAAATATCCAAATTAATGCCAGGAAAATAATATGGAAATACATTCAAATTTAATAAGAATTAATTGAAAGAAGCTGCTCAATATATATGCCAAGAGGAGAGAGAGAGAGAGAGAGAGAGAGAGAGAGAGAGAGAGAGAGAGAGAGAGAGAGAGAGAGAGAGAGAGAGAGAGAGAGAGATAACACTCTGGGAAAAGAAAGAAAGAAAGAAAGAAAGATTAGAAAGAGATGGAGATTATATTTAAGTTTTGAAGATTTAGCATGAGAATTTGTAGAATATTTTAACAAACTTCACTACACATATTTAAATTCAAAAACCATTAGTCATAAGTCTATGTAGTAGTTCGTGTCATTACTTGCATATTTCAGGTTTCCAAAATATGTAAATACTAGTATCGAAATGATTCTCATGTGGTTCTAGATTGTCAATATTACCCACATGCAATATTAGCAATAACTTAGCACGCTAAAATAATTTGAAATAATAATTCAAATGATAATGATTTTTGCTCTACTTCTTGCGGCGTAACCATGAATGAGATAGTAAGGATGCATCCACTTGGTCCATTTTCTTCCTAAATACTACCTCCGGTCCCAAATAAACTTCACACTATCGTTTTTGGGCAGGTCCAAAATAAAGTTCACACTTCTACTTTTGGAAGTTTTTAATATAAAGTTACCCTTATACCCTTACTTTATTACCAACTTTACACCCACTTTCTCTCTCCCACTACACCTAATCTACTTTTTGCAGGGGTATGATGGGAAAGTCAAAAGAGAAAATTCCAATTTCTCAAAAACCATAAAGTCAAAGTGTGAAGTTTATTTGGGACCAGAGGGAGTAATTTCCACTTTCCTTTTTGATAAAAATATAAATTTCATCTATTTTCTTTAAGGACACTAATATGCCATGTGTATTATTTCTTTCTCTTTTGAATATATCAAGTTATCAACCACAAATTTTTTATATTTAATTTTTTATGCCAAATAAATTAAAGTTTTATAAGGGATACTCGGAAAATTAAAAGCAATGGAGTTTATGCTATCCAGATGCTAAACGTGTGTGGCTCAAGTCTGACAAACTGTGAGACTAGCCAATAAGCCACTAGAGCAATTTGTTTAATTCCAACAAAAGTCTGGTTGATAGTTATTGTGTTCAATCAAAATTAGGCATGAAACTGACGGTAACGGTAAAAAAGGAATTTTTTTTACCAAAGCTTTTGAAATATTTGATGATTTTCATGCCAAAATTAATGATCACGTGCTTCGGTATCGGAAGCTAGCGATTACCGAAATTCTGTCGAGATTTCGATCAATATTACCATTTTTAAATTAGTTGTGCGTATCTGTGTATATAATGACTCATTCCCTTTGAAGAAAGAATGGCTACTCTGGACTCCCCTATTATTAGCTATTTGCCCTTCTAAGGTATAGACAATATTTAAATGATGGCATAATCTACATTTTTAAAATCTTATTCTACATTATCATTTGTTTTAATTGGTTGTTTGTATCTATGTACATACCGCTAGAGATTATATGTACTACATACTCTCTGTCCCAATATAAGGAATTCGCATAGGATTTTGGCAGTTGGCACACCTTTTTAGGCATTTTTTGGAGTGACAAATTTTGTTTGAAGTGAGGACGAAGGAAGGAGTACTATTTAATGTATGTGTTTGTGTCATGGTAATTGGGTCATATCACTACTCATTACTTCACTTGCTTGGCTCGGCCTCATTATGCTTTCGGCACATAACAATAGAATATTATATATATTCTACTATTTTTCTATTTCATTTCTTATGGAATCTAATCCGTGTATCATATGTTTCTTTCAAACAGGTAGTTGATGGAAGCAATATAAAACATAAACAATAAAAAACAATATGTTACAAAGTGAATTGGATACAAAAAGGCAGTCACTTGAATATAACTTTTGAGTTTTTAGAATTAATGATGGAAGCTCATTTTTCCTACCTTGTAAGAAGATGAAGCTGGAAAACTTGAGCCGCTAGGACAGGGAACATAGTTATTTGATATCTGAAAGCTCTGTTGAGGTGGTGCGGCAACAGGAGTGACGGGCCTGTTTGCAAAGTCTGGTGGTGGAGTAACCTGTGCTGAAGGAACAATGTGCACTCCTGCAACAGGTCTAACAGGTATCTGCTGCATCAGTTGAGGAAACTGGTTTTGTGGAGGAGGAGGCATCATAACACTTGTATGCCCTAGAGGCTGAAATTGTTGAGAAGGGCCAGGAATGAATGGCTGTGGTGGAACCATGGGTGGTCGGAACTGTAGCTGGTACAAAGATTAGAAAATTATAATAAAAATCTTCAACTAAAACTTTAAAAAAACATAGGATGTCAAAGATTCAGGTACATCAAGAAAAAGAGAATATACCGGCATTGGCATAGGTGTATGAGCACTTTGAGGAAGACTAGCTAGTGGAGGTCGAGGTGGCTTTCCCAATGTCAACAAAATAAGAGTATAAGTAAATAAATAACTAATAATTGGTAAGTGGGTAAACAGTAAATCAAAAGCAGCTAACAAATGGGCAGATACTAACATGACTATATATAAATGGCTCCCTGGGATAGAAGCAGATATCCAGAGTTAGAGTTATTTAACTGTGGATAGTAAATAGTAATACTACAGGGTATTACTTTGTAGCATTATTTGAGGCCATCTGACAAGTCAGACAATTAAGAAGTTGAAAGTTCTACGGGAATAAAAAAGGAATTTTATCCATCCGGGACTTGAAAGATAAAAATTAACGCTATAGGGCTCGAATGATTGAAAATTATCAATCTAAGACTTAAAATATCATGAATTTTAATTTATTCATTATAAATACTTTAAGTCTTTTAACTTTATTAAAAAAATAAACTTCTGCGGAGGAAAAATCATCAAAACTTAGAAATATAATAAACAAAAATGAAAGAAATAGAAAGCTATGATATATTAGGTCATTGATTGATAGTTTGCAATCACTCGGGCCCTGTATCAAACATTTTCATCTTGCAAGTCCTGGATTGATGAAGATAGGTAATTTTCTAACAGCTCGTTACTCCTCAACAGAAATTACAAGAAAATAGTCCCTAAGTTAAGATCCTAGTTCAAGCATGACAATTGGAAGTTTGGACCCAGAGTTGGAATGAAAAGCTTAGCAATTTAAAATGATATTTGTAAAGTGAGTTCTATGCGCTGCCGTAAATTAGAATATGATTCATTACTACAATTGATGTTGGTGACTGTAGAAAATAATAGTGGGGTACGAATGTGGAGTGGGGATAGGTAAAAAACTCATACGTAATTAAAAAATGAGTTGGTTCTGATCGATGATGATAAAAATGAGTAAACAAATGCCTCAACCACTTTTGATTCCGGCCCCGATGTTGCTGTGAAAAGAATCTCTATGTGATAAAAAGAACAAAGTGCTCAATAATATTAAATTCCAAGCAATTATACTAATTACCAAATACAATTAATTAAATTGCACTTCTTACAAGTTACAATTGATTGATAAATAAATCACTGAAGAAAATTAAGTATAGCATTGTCTCTTATAATTAATGCAAACTCAACAGCTGAAAGGGAAACTTTAGTATAGGATAATGCCAGGTACTCATTTAATGCCACAAAGTGATTAACAAAGTTATGCTATTGAACTAAGGAGATAAAAACAGACTATCATAAATAAAATAAATAAAGTAAAATAAAATTACAAATACGAGCAACAAATTCTTCAATTATCCTCCCAGGAGCTAATTTTCCACAAAACTCTAAGTATCCAATATAATGAATTAATCAATAAGACAATAATGAGAATAATCTTTACTTTATAATCTGTATAAAATCAACTACGAAATAACTATTACTGTGTAAAATATAGAAGGATTCTGATAAAAAAATCAGGAACACAATGACTTTTTGGTAGGATTACCTGCATACTAGTGAACTGAGAATTGCTAGCCATGGCAGTCAACTAACAAAAGCCAGAAAGGAACTGATAAACATAGCTGGATTAGTTCAAGGAAAGGGCCATCATGTTAAAATCCACAAAAAAGATCATATTAGTCAATCATATTATTAGAGGTGGCCATATTACCTACAGATTGAGTAAATTAAAAGTTTATAGCCCGCAGATAAAAAATAAGAAAGTATAATGAAATGCATACTTGTCAAGGTTGTTAGGGCGTTGCCTAGGCATCCATGGAGAAGGATCGACAGGGGAGATCGACTCGCCTGAGGAAGATCAGGCGCCTCTGGTGTAGTCCAGGCGTAGCTCCAGGGAGTGTTTAAACTCAGTAATTTCGTTTTAGAAGCCCAGCCCAAAATAAAGGAACCCAGTCGACTCTGAAACTCGAAATTCGAAGGACAGTCACTACACTGGAAGCATAGCTAGTCACTACTTCGGCTGTGTGGCAACTCGCAGGGTTGAAGACGAGCTGCAGCACCTGCTCTTCCGCTTTTATCAGTATATTCTAGTGTCTAGGTTATCGGTTTTTATGGGTTATTCACTTATCAGACTTCTTCAAATATAATCAGAGCGTAACTGCTAATATATTAAATATCTAAGTGATAAAATCATAATCAAATACAACTACAGCATTGCCAATTTGCCACTGCTAGACTATACAAGAAGATCCTTCCTTTATTCATTACTCACCAAAAATCAATTCTTTTACACATCAAGTTCTACTACTGTAATCAATTAATTTTTTTGGTTGCGTTCTATGTTTCTTCTCAGTATAAATAGAATAATATGAAGCAGCGGGAGGGAAACCTGGAGAGATATCTCTGGCGGAAACGAGGTCAAAGGCTTCGGACACGTCTGGGATCAGAGTAAGTGCCAAGTTTCAGGCAGGGGAGAGATGGAATTGGCGTGGGGGTCATCGCAAGGAAGAAGCTGGCATGGATGACTATGGGCTGGTTGAGGCAAGTCAGTGTATGGGCTTTTGGCGGTTTTTTCTGGAGTAAGGTGGATATATGGAGATTGGGCTTGACAGTGCTTTTTCACTGCATGTTTGGGATTTCGGGTGCATTAGTTAATTGCTGCCTAGTTAGCTTTCTTGTATTTTAAACGTGTTTTAAACACGTACCGTTTTTTTGACAAAAAACTCACGTTTAAAATAAAAATAATGTCAATCTGATTAAAAAGGAAAAAAACTCATATTTTTCGTATAAAACGTACTTTTCCCGTTTTTTACAATAAACAAAAACAGGAATTGACCAATTGAATGAGCGCATTAAATGCATAGGAAATCAACAATAGTTTAAAAGTAAAAATGAAAACGTCCTCCCAGTGATCCGGGGTTTTATTGTATTGTTACAATAAAATTATAAAATACTAAAATTAATTACTTGGCGGCTAAAGAAAAACATCCTAAAAGACTAAAAGTAAAAAGATTATTAGATTTATGATGTTTTTCCAAAGAAGCATATCAAAATTAAGGTTTTTCTAAACCTGACATTTTTAATATAAACTTTTGCACATAAACGATAATAAGTGTAACAGTCGCGCAACTTTTCTCATATGTCATATGTCATCTTGATGAAAACAATGAGTTTAACTTTAGTGTTAACCTTTCTTATAATAAATTTAGTCTCATTCTATTGTTATTAGGCCATATATTTTTTGACATTATTTTGCAAAATTATGTCTTAGACTAAATTACTATTTTTATTTTTGTCATCGACTTGTACAATTACGAATTATTCTTTTTTGTAGTAATGAGATTTGCTGCTTGAATATGTTTATATTTTTATTTCTTTTTACCATATATGTTATTTTGTAAAGTATATGATTTAAATGTTCAAAATAATACCTCGTATTTTTTGTCCGAATTTTTGTAACACATAACGTATTATACACATATACATATTACATGTTTTTTTAAAAGCCAACGTTCTTTTCAACGAATGTTTTGACCGTTTATTTCGTTCATGTTACCAAATAAAATGTGTATGTATTAAACCTTGTTTAATTCTCGTACCGTATTTAACTCACTAGAGTTATTTGCAATTCAATTCCATTGATAAATCAAGATTTTCGCCAATTTATACATACATTCATTCAGTCAATTTAGTTTTTTGCAGCAATCCAGCGTCATCAGTATGTGCACTCAGCCAAAAAATTAATTGAAGTATTACTTTTATTATTATACATCAAAACTTTTCAATTTGTTGAGAATAGTTATGGTGTGAAAAGTCATGAATAAATTTGGAGTAATTTTTTTTACTTCAAACCTTTTAAAAAAAAAATAGTTGAAAGATATAAAAAAAATAACAATGGAACCTTAATTTTGTTATTTGAATCTATTTAAAAAGAACGGGTCTAACACCTCGTGCAGTTGAAACTTCATATTTTAGCGCTTTATATATGCAGTATTGATCTCATATGAAGGACTATTATTATTTTTCAAAACTCATACTATGTATGAAGGATTATAAAAACATAAATTTTTTATATAATCTTTACTAACAATGGAGTAACAATAAAAAAAGATAGGGAGTAGAACACTGTAGCACACCGGTCATTCTCCTTGCCAACCAGCTTCTCTCTTCCATGAATAAGGTCATAGATTCTCACCTCAAGAGGTGCTCCAATCCACTTTGGCACCTCAACATATCTTGGGTTGTAGCTATTTTTGGGTGAAAAGCTCAAGAATGGTTTTTTCACCTCTGGGTTGTGGTCAACCTCATAAAAAGTTCTGACCATTGGGTAATTCATATTTTAGATATTTTCTTAAATAGATTTAATCATCTCAAATTGAAAGTAATGTCGAGTAATGTCGAGTACCACATTATCTTAAACCGAATTTCTGCCATAGTGTTTAATATTTCATTAACTAGGATACTTCGTCGTCAAAATTTTATTTTTGATATGAAGTGGCAACCAGTGGTAGTTCACACGATCATAAGAATAATACCATAGAGACGTTATGAGTAGTCTGCTAAAACACATACTGCTCTCTGAGACAGAACATGATAATTAGATAGGGCATCCTTCAACCTTTGCGATGAGGTTTTTAAGAATTCAAAGATGATGAATAGTTTTTAGAGTTTTCTGAGCAAACATTTTACGTAAATAAACAATTGAGAGAATAATGTTTCCCTAGAAACAAAAACTCATTATTTACAATGTGATGTTACGTCAATAAAAAACAGCCATTGATAACTTCCCATTTTTACAAGAGAGGATAACTTTTAAGGTCCAAGGTTTCAGGAAAAATATTTTGAAACATAGAAAAGCATCATAATTTCAATTTGTTAGTTACGATCTCCAAATAAAACCATGTGTTTTATGTGCTTTCAAGTAAAAAAAACGCTTTCACCTTGCATTTAGGAAATTTTGTGGTCTAGCCAAATTTAATATAAGTAATTTAATAGCTTTAATCTTTATAAGCATTTAATTTTGTGGTGTGTGGCTAATGTAGGTATGTATTTCCGTTATTTGATTTGATACATCTCTTTACACGCATGCAATCACATCATCGAGATCGACGATTCTATTATTGGTAGATTATTGCTCCTTTTTATTCACTTTAACGTTTGTGCTTTTTGTATTGCGCTGTTCACTTAATCCAAACTCTCATGCAAAATGTTTGCATACAAGCCTACATATATACATTAATACATGCACACTCATATATATTTATATATACAATCAAGATGAGGAAGAGCTTGGATAAGATGACATAGATTAAGTGTAATTATGGAGAGAACGACTAGTGTTGTTATTCAAGAAGGGGGTGCTGAAGATTCCATCTTTGATGATGATGGACGTCTCAAAAGAACTGGTATACTTAATACTTTGTATTTAATAAAGTCTATCATATCATGTCTCTGTGTAAGCTTGTTTAAGCCAAAAGGTTTTAATCTATTGAAAGTTAAGATATGATTTAGAATATTTCGGGTATAGATTAATCTTTTCACAAATATTTTTTGTCTTCTTACGATGACCCTACAAGATTTTGCCAGAATAAAAAATTATTAAGATTATAGTAAAACTATGTGATGCATTGAGGTAAAATTAATTGAAAATGAATTTATATGAACCATAAAATTTATTTCTAAACTAATACTTCCTAATTCCCATTGTGTTGTACTTTTACTTTCTTAGAAACACTTTTTGTTTTTGCTTTTTAATTTTGAATATCAATATATTATTATTTTTAAATTTGAGTTTTGATTTGTGATTCAATTGGACCTTTCAATGAGTTATCTAAACGTATAGATTTTAACTATCAATGTCAATCTGAATTTAGCGTATAAGATATAAATTATTATCAGTCAACCTCAAAAATTATAAATTGTGAATCAATGTGACGCACGAAAAAATATCATAATATTTTATAGTTTTGAGCATGAGAAGTGTGCAAAGTTTGAATGGTTTGAGAAAGTACAATTTGTTGGAGCATAATACATTAATCACGGGAAATTTTATGAAGCTCTATATGACTCCACTATGGAGTCATATGTGGCTTCACACAAATCACTCATTTTTTGAATGAGATCCTCCACTATAAAAATAAATGGCTATTGTGAAACTCATAGACAATATGACTCCATAGTGGGATCATATAGGGCTTCATAAAAACTTTGCATTAATCACAGTACCACATTGAGTATTATTCGTTATTGATTGACCTCTGTTATATTAACCTTACGTGCATGTACCAAATATTATCCTCTACTTGACTACTTGTATACACAGTTACACACCCTTGTTCTTATTCCTATGCATGCATCTAATACTAATTGAGTTTAAATACAAGGTATATATTGTAATAGGAGTAAAACATGTATGTGCTAAGCCCTCAAGTAGGAATAAATACAAGTTGTGGTGGTCTTATTTGAGAGATCGAGAAAATTATTCTTCTATTTTACAAAATTTTCATGCATATGTAGGAACTGTGGTGACGGCAAGTGCACACATAATAACGGCACTAATAGGATCGGGTGTGTTGTCTTTAGCATGGGCTGTAGCGCAATTGGGAGCCATCGCCGGACCGATAGTTTTGATCATCTTCTCCATCATTACTTTGTATACATCTATTCTGCTCACTGATTGTTACCGTTCACCTGACGGTACCCGAAACCATTCTTACATGGATGCCGTTAGAACCCATCTAGGTATTACGTGTGTTACATCTATATGTTAATTTATGCTTGCACTTAAAATTGATGATATAAGTAACTGTTTGTCATGTGGTAAATATAAGACTACAAAAATTATAAATGTAGTGTTTAGGCGAAAATGCAAGTAATTTAGTTATGTGGAAATATTGATAATAATAAAAAAATAACTCCAGATGACTAATATATGTAAAACACTACAAAAAAAAAGACATTCATTGGTCTTGAACTTTGCATGTCATGGATCCACTTCGTGATAGAAATTTGAAATTTAATTATGTGATTATGTTTTCTCACGAATGGTCGTCTATCATAAAATTTGCACTCTCTCTGTTTAGTTATTTGTCACAACTCATTTGTGATAATGTTTGGCGCGAACGCAACATCTATGAAAATGTTTCGTCACACTGGTGGTGGGAGACACACTTCCGTGACAGAGGTCTTTGCATCTAATCGTATAAACGCGGACACATTTTAATCTTTGTGATAAATAATGTGTGATAATTATATATTGAGAGATGTTGTATTTACCATACATGTTTTAATTTCCATACATGAAGATAACTTTTTCTATTTATATTTCTAATACAAATACCAAATTGATCAACATTGATTTCGAATAACTTATATAACTTGTCATCATATATATTGTCATTGTAAAGCATACTTAGTCTTATTACAGGTGGCACAAATTTCATGTTTTGCGCGATTGCCCAGTATGCTACTCTAATTGGCCTTAGCACCGGATATGCAATCACTACAGCTCTTAGCTTAGGGTAAGCCTTTGGAGAGCATTTATTATAGACTTCATATGCTTTCAATTAATCAAAATATAATTAGGTACAAATATATTTGTAAAATTATTTTTAAAATATATTCAAATTACAAAAGATGGCAAAGAGTTTAGAGGAAAGTCAAATAGTATGGAAGAATGTGTGTGTGTAAGGCAGGAAAAGTTGTACACCTAGAAAGTAATGAAAGAGTGGCATATTTATGTCTAATATAATCACTCCTTTTATAGTGATATTAATTTCACATCTACACTATGATAAAACTTGTGTCATATGCATATGAAAAACTCAAATAAACCATACTTGTTTAAACAAGAGTTATCAAAAAAAATTGTATACAATTATAGGCATGTCAAAACACATAACAATAAGAACAATTAACAAAAAACTATTACGCTTGGATTGAAAGTCAAAATTACATAAATGTAAGAACAATTAATCAAAAGAGATACATAAAATGAAAGTCTATGGGAGAAAAAAAATTTGTACTTCCTTGATAAAGACTCCTAAAATATTGAGAATAAGAACCATGGAGAGAGATTGAAGATTGAGGCTCAATCTCCTCCGCTGCCTCTATTATTCCTCCTCCATTTTCTCTTCCTCTTCATCATCCTACTCACTGGGTTTGTGTAGTGGAAATGTAAAAATATCGAATATTTTAAAATATTCTATAGACATTTACACAACATATATAACATTTTCTAGAAGCACGTGAAGAATAATATCAGCTCTAAGCATGTAAACAAGTGTAAAATATTTAAACTAGAAAATTTTTAACTTTGTTAGGAGTGCGGACTCTTCTAAAACATCGTATGAACGTGTAAAGCACCCAAAATAAATTTGAGAAGCTCATGAGATGATGAGAGTTTTTCTAATCTTTCTGCAATAATATATGGAGTCTTGCTAAGAATTGTTAGAAGTCTCTACAAAGTGAAAGGAAAAAAGCAAAGTTTTAAAGACGATTAGTTTCGTTGTATAGAACCTTGTTGAGAGTTCTTAGAATGTTCTAAATCTAATTTTAGAAGACTAGTTTCTGATTTTTAAGATTAATTTAAATTGTTTTTACTCCTATGTACGAGCACTATGACAAAGAATCTTAAAGTAATAACAATGGCAACCCTCGAATTGATGAGCGAGCGAGACTCACTTCGTCCTCCTCGAAGTGCAAAATTTGTGAGAGTATTGATTTGATTGGTGAAGGTAAATAAAGATGATTGACGATGATGTTATTATATCATGATGATGATCCACGAATAGTGGTAATTGTTGGAGTTGTATTCTAATAATTTTGTGTATTGTTGTTCAACATTCAACAACGAACAACAATTTGAACCTTCTAATCAAGTTGATTATTCACTAAAAATGCATTTAGGTGATGATCATAATTACACACGGAGTAGAATTTATCAATTGGAAAGGAGTCATGGGGTTTTAATTGGAATGAAATGTTCCATGGCTCCACCATACGATAGAGGTTCTCAGAGCACCTGAGGTGTCTGATGAAAGAAGACAGAGCCTCAAAATATTGGCAGCAAATAGACCAACACATATTTTATCATAGTTCGATCGAGTGACTAATTTGGATGGCCACTCTAGTTGGACTTGGCATCAGAAGAGGCCCCAAATCCGTACTCACTCTTCCTTCAATGACAATTGTTATTGCCTTTAGGCAAATTTGTTGTGGTAATTAAAAAATGATTGAATTTTTTTTGAAAGTGTAAAACTTTGATAGTGTATAGAACTTGCATGAAAAAATCTAAAATATTATTATCATATTAACTCTTAATGATAATTGGATTACATAAAAAATGCATATACATGAATCATAAAACAAGACCAATTTTTAAGATAAACACATAGTCCATATGAGAAACACATTATTAGAAATAGCACCCATTAGATTAGGGAGTTATAATTTATTAGTTAGTATGATAAATGAAACAAAAGTTTATAAATATATAATGTTCCTTATAGTAGCATTCGGCAAATAAATCAAATTGAATCGATTTTGAGATGGAGGGAGTAACAATTTACTCACATATAAAAACATGTGAGAGAAGTTTTTATGAGAGAAATTGCCTTAAATAAGAATAATAATAATTTCAAATTTCAAAATATGAGTATTATATTTTTCTCAAAGACTGAGTAATTAATAACATACTTGAAAAATAATGTCATATTTTTAGTACAACTTCAACTTAGCAAAATTTCCTCTATTTTTAGTGAAAAACCATTGCACTCATATTTTTGAAATTTCACATTATTTGTGTTGTACAGAATTCTAGTGGTGTAGAATTGGCACATACCATCAATGTGATACAACGAGTTTATTGATAAATTAGGGCAATTGAAAGAACAACTTGCTATCACAAGAAGGGGCGGAATTGGCCGGATTGCAGTCCATCAACCCGGAATTACATATTTTATTTTGGAGTGCTACAGATAATCCTTAGTCAAATACCAAATATTCGAAAGCTTTCGTTTATCTCGGTCGTCGCTTCACTCATGTCATTTACTTACTCAATCATTGGGGTTGCTCTCGCTACTGCTACAATCGCCAGTAGGTTTCATCAACTATTTCAATTATTATTAATCTCGTCAAAGAATATTACTCCGTATTAATTACTGTGATTATTATTATCGTTGAGAATCAAAACATATAATGTTGTGTTATATATTTGAAAAACTACGTATATACATAAAAAAAAAGTACTACTATTATGAAGTACTAATAGAATGAAATGTTATAGACCACATATTTCTTTTCATAAGAAAAGAATGTGACACTTATTTTGGGACAATCCAAAAAACAAAGTAAGATATGTTAAATGTGACCAAGGAGAGTAAATTACTCTTATCATACTCATGTCCTTGAGTAAGAAATGTGTAATACTTTATGGATGATGTTTAATTATTTTATAATTATTTTACTCTTACATATGTTTTTCATAATCTCTTTCATAGTTTTTTTTGTTTTCCCTCTTTCCTGCATACTTATTATGGCTTTTTTTCTCCTCCCGGCATTTTATACTTCTCTCTCATACTTTTTTGCCATACTCATTACCTCATACTATTAGTATATAAAACCATGTATCTATTATAATTATAAGAATTTAACACTTCAAAATTTATAGTAATACCAAGGGATTAAGAAAGTGTTTGCAAATGTTTTTAATTGCTTTTAAAATAAGCACTTTTAAAGTGATTTTGGAAAAGGTGATTCATAAAAAAGTTGGTAGTGTTTGAGAAAAAATTGATTTTGAAAAGTAAAAGTTGATAGTGTTTTGTCAAATAATACAATATGCTTTTGTGTAACAGAAAACGTAAAAAGTAGATTCCAACTTTTAGATTTTAAGTGTTTAATTTAAACAAAAGTTGGCACTTGAAAACACTATTTTCAGCTTTTAAGCCAAAAGCTGAAAATCACTTTAAAAAATTGCAAACATACTCTAACACCATTACATATTATAAAATAAGAATGATTTCCATTTTGAGATAAAGAAAGAAATTAGAGAAATAGAACATCAAAAATAGGTTAATTAACTTATCAAACTTTGAGGCCTTGCGGGTAAGCCCTCATCATATATAAGTTTTTTCATCACAAATAGTTAATCTATTTTGTGTTCACGAGTTTTAGCCTTTTAGGTAAAACGTTTTTCTATATTGGCTTTTCAAGTATGTCATCCGATCAAAAGTACGATAAAGAAAGTCAATGATTGATGACATAATTCTTATAGAACAAGAGTATTTTACAATTTAGGTATTCCCAGAAAAGATGTAAGAACATAATTTTGGGACATCAAGGAATTGAAGTATATATAAAGAACAAATTATAATGTTTTACACGCACTATATGAGTTTGTATGTTTTTCTTTGCTCTTCATGGAAGACTTTAGACATGAACTTTCGTAAATAAAAAAGATATTTGTAGTTTGAATACATTACACATTCCTAAGCATATATTATGTTTCATTAAAATCCATTCAAAACTTAATTATATGTCTAGTTACTTAATACTATGTAATACTTCGAAGCAATGTGCATACATATATTTTAGTGAGAAGTAAAATATAGGAAGTTTTTCCAAATCATAAGAGTATCATTGTTTTATTCCGGAAAGAGAAATTATGCACTCCAATTATATATTAGCAATTTTTCTTTAACATGACTATATATGATTTATTTGGGGAATATTATAAAATATACATAGTGATATTCCAGAACTTTGCATGTGTTACTCATACTTTGAGCAATTTCTTTATTTTAATTATATTTAAGCATTTGTTTTATTAGTGATTGAAAATTGACAACAGATAAGAACGTAATAGCAAGGTGGATGTATAGGGGGATTGAAAGTGAGAATAAGCCTCACAGGTGTGCCAATTGGAACTCATAACTCAGCTATGGATAAGATGTGGAACACTTTCTCGGCCATTGGAAACATTGCCATCTCATTTGCCTTCTCCATTGTTCTCATTGAAATACAGGCACAACAACACTATATTTTCCGTTACATTGCAAGTTTGAATGTGTTTCTTACATTCTAAAGTGGGAAAAAATGAAAACCCGGTTAAGTATTTGCATGAATGCAGGATACATTAAAAGCATCTCCAAGAGAGAATAAGGTGATGAAAGAGGCAACTTGTGTTGGGATAATAGTGTCCTCTGCCTTCTATGCGCTCTGTGGGATCCTCGGCTATGTTGCGTTCGGAAATGATGCTCCGGGGAATCTCTTAACTGACAATCACGCTTTTTACGAGCCATATTGGCTTCTTGGTTTGGCTAATGCATGCATTGCCGTCCACCTTGTTGGAGCCTATCAGGTTCGTATACATATCATGAAAATATAAATACTTGTGTCCTTTAGGATGTTTTCACTATATTTAAATTTTCTCAGACTTAAGTTGGTCTAGTGGTGTAAAGTGTACATATGTGTATTTTAATACATTCGATTTGCAAAGTCAATATCTTTGGAACCGAGGTAGTGTTGCTTAAATCTCGTCGAACCCATTTATTTTAAGCTTGGTTTAATTTTAAACAAAATCAAGTCCAAGTAGAAATATTTTAATTGCTACAATAGTTTAATTTTACACATCTAACATAGTCGACTTTATTTGACCAAAATTTATTTATTAAAAACTGATCGCATTGCTAATATTTGTTAATTTACCTCAGTTTAAATATAAACGTTAGTGCTTGACAACTTGTACTCCCTCTGTCCCAAAATGTAACGTGTTATTTGATTTGACACTAGTTAAAAAAATACAATTATAACTTCAAAAAGGTAAGAAAAAGCTAAGCCAATATACTAAAAATATAAATGATACATAAAAAGATACATGAAAAGGTAGCAAACAATATAATATTGAGGGAGTATAAGGTGTAAAAATATAGGAATGGAAATATTAAAAAATTGTACAATGACAAAAATAGATATGTAATCTTAAAAAGTGAATGAAACATATTGACAAAAAAATGAGAAAAGTATTTCAATTATTTTTAACCGTTTCCGTTAATGTTTTTTGGCAAACCTAGTCCTACGTATTTTTATTGAATAGAGTATTTTATAAGGAAAACTAAACATTATATTCTTATTAATAGAATATTTACAAACTGAAATTATTAGATAAATCAAATTGTATTCTCATATATTATAAACTGCTCGTGCATCACACAAGTTTGGTATCTAGTAAAAGATGAAAGGCAGCTCAATTTGCAATTATTTCGTGTCATGTAGGTATTTTCCCAACCGGTGTTTGAATTCGTGGAGAGCTGGTGCATGAGAAAGTGGGGAGGAACAAGCAGATTCATGAGAGCGGAATACAACATTGTTGGGAGGTTGGAGGTGAGCTTGTTTAGGATAGTCTGGAGAACAACATACGTCATGACCACAATGCTAGTGGCGCTAATATTCCCCTTCTTCAACGCCTTCGTCGGTCTGCTAGGAGCCATCTCCTTCTGGCCGCTCACCATCTATTTCCCCATCAAGATGTATATTCTCCAAGCACACATTCAGAAATGGTCATTGTCTTGGATTTCACTGCACACACTTAGCTTCGTTTGCTTCATCGTCTCCTTCCTCGCCGCTGCCGGTTCCATTCGTAACTTAATCAAGTCCGTCTTGCATTACAAACCATTTGCCTAAGCGCCATCTTATTAAGAGGCGTTATGCGTGGATCTAGATATCTGAGTTGGAATGATATAGGAAATAATTATACTAGGTAGACAATATTAACGGGTGCACTACATATAAAAAATATTACATTAAAAAGTATTTGAAAGGAGTAAGTTGCCCTGTATTTTAACCCATATTGCCCTAGATCCTCTCATATATCCTCCCATGGACTACTTTATGCATATGACATAACTCACACGATACATGCATAATATTACTTCTGTCCCAGCCCTCCTAATACTAAGAAAAGTGATCTTGTGTAATAGACAAAATCAATTAAAAATAGTTATTTGTTGCTAACAAAAGATAGCTACTTTGCAAGCTCTCAGCTAATCTTAAAAAACTAATTTACAAAAAGCAAACTAATTTATAAAAATTAACACTTTCAATCTACTAGTATAGATACCCAACAATATAATTTACAGTATGCACTCGATCTTATCAATTTATTTTCCTTAAATACCAGTAAAGCGAGTCCGTTTCTTTAAATAGAAGTACTATATTTTTAATCTAAATAGTATTAGGTATTAGATTATCTCCAATGTAATAATGTACACGGTGTATACGTGACATGAGATATATAAACAAAAAAAATAGAATTTCTCTCTCTTCTTCTTTATATTATCTTCTACTAGTATATTTTAGTTTTTATATATCTTTAGCAAAAATGTCAAGTACAATGTCTACATCTACACGTTTCCCTCGACATTACGCAAAAAAAAAAAGTTACGGAAAATTGATAAATCATTCAGATAAGGAGTAATATATTATACTACAAATATATTATCACCTACATGTCACATATGCAAAGTAGGCAATGTTGCATTGAAGATGTTTTTATATTGACATCCTTAGACTATATTGTCATATTGATCGACACAATCTGATTACTTATCATTAATATTAAAGTTAAGTCCTCGCACTCCAAAACCCAACACGTTCCCTCCGGTTTTGGTCACGTTTGTATTCTAATTTCTAAGTGGTTGTTTAATGAGTTGACGACAATACTAAAGAGCAAACTAAGAGGCTAAAGTGCATATGGTTCTCATTTAGCGAATATGGAACGCTTACAACACACTCTTACCGAGTCTAGCTAAGCCTCTAACTTCTAGTATATGCTAAGAGTTACAGAGAGAGTAGAGAGAGAGACTAAGCTATTGAATGTAAATTTTTCAACCATATACAATGAAATAAATGTGAATATCAATACTATGTGGTGGTAGGTGGTGGAGGCGATGTGGCGTGTTGTGATTAGCAAACCTCCAACCATAGAATCTCCCATATTTGGTTAAATGTGCTTCCTGCCAATTCTTTATTTCCCGCCAATATCTTGGTATTACAGACACTGTTGCGAGAAAGCTTGCAAGTTTTTGGTCCCGTTTGGGACATAATGTCCCGAAGTATAGATCCCGAGCGAGAGGGATACCCGATCGAATTGGTCTACGCCCTGAGCATTGTTATTAGCGTTCTTGTGCCGGTTGGGCATGCGATGGTATTTGGGTCAGCCTTCTGTTACCTATTACCCCAACAGCTAATTATAAGAAATCACGGACATTGCCACTAAGCGCGCGATGGAGATCAATAACCCCTTTTGTTATATATATATATATATATATATATATATATATATATATATATATATATATGTGTGTGTGTGTGTGTGTGTGTGTGTGTGTGGAATTATCTGTCAATGCAAATTATTGTTCCCCTGAATATGACCCCCCTTCTTTGATGTTCTGGCTCCGCCCCCCTGCAATTTGATCTTAATATTTGAAAAAACTTAAAATTGAACAAATTTTCAGTGCTAAAATTTTAATTAGGTAAGTACAACTTTTGTATAAAACGTATTTCATATAAAAACACACGTCAATAATGGCAACACAAATTAGAAAAGCAATTACGTTTTTAAGCTCCAAGTTACACCTATATAAACACATAATTATTTTAAAATTGTGAGTGTGTCGATAGCTTTAGTGATCCAATGCCTCAGCTAGCTCTAATATTCTTTTTAGTAGTTTTCTTAAAATAATACATATTTATTATTTAAACTTTTGGATTTTATTACATATTTGTATCGAATTGAAATATGGTTTCTATATTAGATCTTATGTACCCAACAATGTTTATTTAATTAAAGCCTTACTTTTATAATTATATTTTTTTTCATTTTTTTAATAGTAATGGTTTAAAAAGTCAAACATTCCGTGTAAAAATAAAGAAAATGGAGTTTTTTTTTGTTAAATCAGACCCATTTTAAAAAAAATACTGAAAGAGGTAAACAAAATATTTGATAATGAGACACTTCAGCACTATGATCTATTTAAGAAAAAAATTAAATCTGAAAATCTCCAGCAATTGCAACTTCGTTTTTTTTCAAATTTATATATACTATACTGATGTCATACGAAAGTTCATAAAAATTTATGAACTCCCAGTTCCGTCTCTGTAATAATGACCGTGACCCATGAAATAGTAACCACGGTTTTGAACTTTCGACCCATTTTTACCTATATTTTTAGACGGAAATATTGTTCACTTTTTCCACTTTACTTTGTATATAGAAAGATATGACGTTAAATGTGATTAATGTTGACCAAAAGGGCAAATAGTGCGAGTAACCTGAATTCAAGGTGTAAATAATCGATTTTAAAGAAATGCATGGTTAAATTAGTAATTTTGACCTATAGGGGGCTAATAGTAATTATATATCCCTATTAGCAAAAAGGTTTCTCCATAAACCCAAACTGAGACATTCCACAAAAACATATAGAGAATATACTATTAGTTCGAGGGGCTGCGCAAAAGAGTTTAGTTACAAAAATTGATAATCGAAGGATAGCTATTTCGAATAACATCATTTTGATGTGTCTTTGCGTACAAAAACGTTTGTAAGAAAGGTATATGTATAGAAACCTAATAAAAGGAATGGAAAAGAATTATCGTCCAAGAGAATCATTGAATCTTTCAAGAGTATTGGATGATAGTGTAGTCCAATTAAAAACCCAATATTTCAGTATATATTAATGAAAGTTTCCTAGTTGACAAAATAGAGTATCATTTCCAATGACATCGGTTTAATTTTTTTTCGTTTTCACAAAGCATGCATAACCTTTCATGTATATGTTTAAAACCCCAGTTTGTACCCATATATTGCTATATGTTGCGGTTTCAAGGCTAAAAATATACTTGGGATCATGTTGTCTAGTAATTGTGGAGGTCTCAAAATCATCACTCAAAATGATGATGATGATGATTGATGACGACGATAGTTCTTGTAGCGAAATTATGAACGATGTCCATAATGTGTTTCATAATTAATCTCTAATTTTCAATCAATTGTATAGACAACTTATTATTATATTCTTATATATATTTCGCATATGCTTTTGGTAATATTACACGTGCTATTATTACATTTTTTTCATTATCAGTTAACTTTTTACAATATGGACACATGTTAACAATGAATATTAATTAAATAATTTTTAGATGAATTCACACACCATGCATTGCAAGGGTGCTAAGCTAGTTTGTATAAAAATGTAAATGTGGACACACATATATGTAAAGATCCAATAAATATTAATTGTAATAAACTCTAAAACTATATTATTAAAGTAGTATATTCATGTATGTAGTGAAAAAATAGAAAAAATGAATAATACGGAGTATATGACTGAATTAAGAAAAATTGAAAAAAAGTGACTCGTAGTGATCATAATAACTAGTAATGATAGTTACTCTTTTTAATTTTCATGTTAAACATTAGTGCTCATGAATGTATGTTCATTGTAATTTAAGTTATATTTTTATCCAAGAAAATTTATTTCACTAATATCTTTTTAGAAAACCTCAAAAAAAAAATTAAAAAATATAATAGTCATCTTGTTAGGAATCATTAGAATACTCCTCTTAAAATGATTTGTTAGTTTTAATGTATTTTAGGTTTCTTAAGTACTTCAAAAATAAGTACGCGTACACACATCCACAAAAGCAAGTACACAATATTCACTATATTTGTTTTATGAGCTCGTTTGATGACTTTATTTTTTGGTTTATAAGCCAAATTTTCAACTAAACACGTAACTTTTAATTTTACGCGCTGGATTGTGTAATAATAAGAAAAAGTAAGGTTGTAGTTATTTTTTGGTTGTATTGGATGAAGTTGCTGTAGATGACCATTTTAGCTATTTTATCATATAACTTTTTCTTTATTTTATTATTAAAATATATTTTAAGTATAATTTTTTTCATAATTCAGTAAAATCAGTCAATACAGCCTCTTTAGGCAGAACTTCATAAATTTCAATAGAATTAGTCGATTTAGCCGATTTCGGGGTACCAAATAGGCTCTATATAGTGTAATTACTTTTGTTTTATATGGAGTATTTCCATGGTTATTAACTACACGCGTTGTATAACTTGAACTATTATAGGTGTGATACCATTTTGAATTGGACCATAAATATATTAATTTGTGTCAAAATTGGTGAAATTTTTTGATACTTTATCAAGAGCATGCCATTAAAAAATAAATTTGTGTGGAATGCTCCAACCATTTTTATCAATCACCAATTAATAGTCCAATTTAGTGATTTAATTGAGGGCTAATTTGACTTTGCACCCCAATTTTTTGTGTAATATTAGACTTTGCCTCCCATTTCCAAAAAAAATTGACTTTGCACCTATTTCACTTAAAAATCTTTTGACTTTGCATCCCATTCAGAAATCTTTCTTCACAAAATGTTATATGATGCCGTGCAAAATCAAAGTTTTTTTAAATTAGGTGCTAAGTCCAATATAATCCAAAAAATGAGGTTTTGATATGGTAACATAGACAATATATACATCACCAAATTGAAAAATATAGGGAAAATTCCCGAAATAGGAGTAAACAAGTTTGAAAATTTAAAAATAGGATTGTCATATTTTCATTCCAAAAGTATGAGTAATTACTACCAAGTTTGGAAAATACCGCCATATTTAAAGTCTAGTACTGCCAAAATATAACAATAATTAGTCCTATTTGGGGAATAAAAACATGATAATCCTATTTTAGAGTATACAAACGTTTTTGAGTTTGCACCCCACTTTTTGGGTGATATTGGACTTTGCACCCAATTTTCAAAACTTTTAGACTTTGCACCCTATCTACAACATTTTGTGAAGAAAAAATCTTGAATGGGGTGCAAAGGCAAA